CTTCTAATAATAAATAAGGTTGGTCCCGGTGGCGACGGTCCACGGGAGGCTTCGAACGGAGAGAACCTTAATTTGTCGGGCCAATGGGTAATAATAGACGTTTTCGAAAAGCAGTTATATCTGTAGAGTATCGTCACCCAGTTGTTTGTATTCCAATTTTTGAGGCATGATGAATTTGATTTCTCCTTGCTTTAAGTTAGTTACTCCGTAGAGTGTATTTATATTTCGAATCAAGGCAAAGATGAAGAAGAGGATAGGCTTCTGCGACAATAACGTCTCCTTTTAGTCGATTTCGTGAAGGATATCAACAAAGCAGCAGCCAATAGACAGAACGAGGAGTGACTTGATACAATAAGGTCATGTTTAGGCGACGTTAGTTATGCTCTGTTCAACCGTTTATTAAGATGCATGAGCGGCATCCGGGATAGATGGGTGGAGCAGGGAGAAATTCCTGTCCCGTCAAATGTATATAAGGGCCTGTTCGGTGCGTCCGTACTTTTTGAACACAATAGTGGATCTCATTAAAAATAGTGTATTTATCAATTATTAGTAGCAAGCTGATGTTGTGTCATCACACTATTCCATCTTGTCCACTGCTCTGGGATGGAGAAAGAAAGCTCATAAAAACATATTCTTTTTGAACAGAGTCCAGAGTCAGTTCAAAAAGAATGCATTTTTATGAGCTTTCTTCTAATCAATATTAGTTAACTATCTTCACTATGAACACTATTCTACACTATTCTACACTATATTATCTCTAAAAGTGCTATTCTATACTATCATACACTGTTGAAGTTAAATACTGCTTATTCATAAGATCTTGATAAGAGATACAAGTACAGCTGCTCAATCTACTGAATATCTGATCATTTTCATCTGTACTTTGTAAAAAGCAGCTGTATTATTAGTACAGATACTCTGTCCACTGAACAGTCATGATATTGGGGCTGTACTTTTTAAAAAAAGTGGAGATCTGTACAAAAAGAACGAGTACACACGGACGCACTGAACAGGCCCTAACTAGTTAACTAGTTAACTAACTACCCAGCGGCATCCTTCGGCTAGCGGATACAGATAGAGTACAATAAAAGTAGTTATACTATGTAATCAATGAGATCTTTAGAAAGCAAGTAATTCATATAATCGATTCCAGTAATTACAGCCTAGACTCTTGAGAAAGGGAATCTGTAAATTCCGCAGAGATGCCAGCACTGAGGAAAGCGTGCTATTTCAATCCTCCAACACACTCTCTCAATACATATACATATATATATATATATATTTCAACCCCAGATAATTACCCCAGACCAAGGGCTGCTCGCTGCTACTCTCCGTGCTATGGATATTAGGGCCCGGCAATCCTTGCTAGGTCGCTGCTCCCTCGCTACTTGGAAGCAACCGGCAGTTGTCAGTCGTGTCTCGTGTAGCAGGACGCATGAAGTAATCTCAACGACGCGTGTGTTTCGGCCGTTGCGGGCGAGGGATGGTTTATAAATGCGAACATCTTCTTCATGCTCCTACGTTTCTGATACTTCCTGGAATCTTCATCAGTGCAAGCCAGCGCAGATAGTGTTCTCTACTTTACTTTCTTTCTCTGTTGACTCCTGGATCGAATAATCAATCGCACGCTCGTTTCCTACTACTACTACCTACATAACAAATGGCCGGCGAAACAGCGCTCCGCCGTCTCATCTACGACCATCCTATTATCGACAACCATGCTCACAATATCCTTAAAGCAGACAGTGCCTCCAATTACTCCAAGTACCCTTTTGAAGCCATTACCTCGGAAGCTCAAGGCGAATCCCTTGAAACCCACGCAGCCAATTCGCTCGCGCTAATCAGAGCCGTCAACCAGCTAGCAGAGCTATTTGGATGCGCCCCCGAATTAAGCGCCATAAAGTCCGCAAGAGAAAAAGAGATTGAGAATGACTATGACGATCTGGTCAGAAAGTGCCTCGCGGGGACCCATATGCTATTGATAGATGATGGCTTGCCCCCAGGAGATATGGAGGCATACTCATGGCATGACCAATTCACCAATGCAGCTTCGAAAAGGATCGTTCGCATTGAAGCCACCGCTGCCCTTATAATCGGGGAACTACTTGAGGCCCGGAACATTTCCCGACCATCCCCGCCCTTGGCAGAGCCAGAGAGATTGACACATTTCTGGGATGCCTTCCGGGCTAGCTTTTTAACAGTTATAAATAACGCGTTGGATGATCCTGCTGTTGTTGGTTTTAAGTCTGTTGTCTGCTATAGAACCGGACTCGCGATTGAGAAAAGTTCCCCGGAAAAGCTATTTACCACCTTTGAAACTTACTTTCGCTCCTTCGTCGAATCTGGGGAAACCAGAATCCAGAATAAGCCATTGAATGATTACCTTGTTATTTCAGCTCTTGATCAAATCTCCAAGCGGCCAAGGAGCTTGAGAAAACCAATCCAGTTCCACACCGGCTTAGGAGATTCTGATATAAACTTGTTACGGTCAAACCCTGCCCACCTACAGAATCTGATTGAAGAGTATCCTGATGTGGATTTTGTGCTACTACATTCATCATACCCATACACTCGAGAAGCAGGCTACTTGGCGAGCATATATGCGAACACATATCTAGATATTGGTGAGGTCTTCCCCATGACCAGCCGGGATGCTCAGCTCTCGGTCCTCCGACAGAGCCTTGAGCTGGTTCCCAGTACCAAACTCCTTTGGAGCACGGATGGCCATTATCATCCCGAAACATTCTGGCTTGCGAATAGGCAATTCCGGCAAGCCTTAGATACAGTAAGCAATGGCCCATCCCGGGATCAATTTGGTCTACAGCCCTGCATAATGTTCGTTAAATAACTATTCCGCTAGGTTTTTACAGAATATGTTCACCATGGGGATTACACATATGACAAAGCCATGGATTCTGTCCGCGATATCTTATTTTTCAATTCAAATCGACTCTACAGGCTCGACCAAGCCCCAGATAGCCTTCATTTCGATTCCAATTCTCTTCAAGCTTGCGGCATAGGTCCAGCGTTATTTCAAACAGCGTCAGCACACACACCAGAGGACATACTTAAAAAATTCCTTAGTAAGAAGTCTGTGGACTTTATATGGATGCAATGGGTTGATTATACGGCCACCGTGCGTGTTCGAATGTTTCCAGTCCGAGAATTCAGTAAAATTGTCCGTTCAAAGCAGAGAGTAGGAATCGGTCTTGCTGTGATGAACATGCTGCAGACTGACAAACTCGTAGCCCCTGAGCCATTGACCGCTGGTTCCTTCATTCTAACCCCTGACGTTTCTACTCTATGCCGGAACGTCGGACTCTCTTCAAGCAGTGCGACGGTTATGACTTTCTGGAAAAATGAGGCAGGCGGTGACCTTGAGGGTTGCCCTCGAACCACTCTTCAAAGCATTGTCAACAGGTGCCAAAGTGAATACGGCATTAAAACACTTGTGGGTTTCGAGATAGAAGTGGTCTTCATGAAGATTTCACAATCAAAGGACGGAAGTTCCACCACCTACTCCCGTTGGTTCACCAATCATTCGTGGTCCAACCTCACCGCAGAAAATGTTCAGGCGCTGCAAATGATTGAAAAGATTGTCGATAAACTGGCAGATATAGATATCCGCGTTCAGCAATTCCATCCTGAATCCTCCCCCGGTCAATTTGAGTTTGTTTTACCTCCATCCACCCCGCTTACCGCCTGTGATACTCTCATCAAGGCTAGACAAACGATCACCGACATTGCTGCGCAATATGGTGTGCGAGCCACGCTCCACCCTCGCCCCTTTGCCAATGCTGCAGGCACCGCAGCTCACGCCCATATCTCTATTACTCCACCAATCCTAAGAGACAATTTTCTAGCAGGAATACTCCATAATTTACCCTCAGTGTTACCTTTTACTTTACCGCAAGATGCCAGTTACGAACGGGTTGTTGAAGGGATCTGGGCGGGTGGGGTATGGGTAGCTTGGGGATATCAGAATCGCGAAACACCCATCCGCGAAGTATCTGCCGGCCACTGGGAGTTTAAGTCCATGGACGGCTTGGCGAATCCTTACCTGGCAGTTGCTGCGATCATTGGTGCGGGATATCTAGGCATGAAGGGCAGGATGCCGTTGACAATCAAGGGGTGCGACGGTATGAAATTTTCCCAGTCCCTTCCAATTATAGAATATGCAGCCTTGGCCCATATCCTCCCCTCCCCCCACCACCCCCCTCCCTTTTTTTTTTTTTTTTTTTTTTTTTTTTTTTTTTTTCCGGCGATTGAAGGTCATCCTTCGCTCCGTTTTCCCCGTCCCTTTCATCATCATCACACATTCATTTCAGAAGAATCAAACTGACCCATTCATTCTCGAACACATTACAGTGGACACCGCAACCCTCTCACCCTCCGAACGCGCCGCTCTATCAATCACAACCCGCATGCCCTCATCGCTAGAAGAGAGCCTTAGAGCCCTCGAAGCGAACCCCGACCTGCAAGCCCTCCTAGGCCTCGACTTTGTCAGGCGGTACATAGGCGTTCGACGCGGGGAGCATGAAATGCTGAGCGCGATGGGCGCGGAGGAGAGGTGGAATTGGTTGATTGCGAGGTATTAATGATTTGGCGGGGGTTTTGATTTTAATATCCTAAATTATTCGGGATGTGATTGGCCTGTTTACACCTCCTCACCCTAGTTTTCATCCTCTGTCTGCTCTTCGTTTCTATTCGCAGGACGTTTTTATGACATCACGACCTTTCTTTTTTGTCCCTTCTGTTCTTCCAGCATGAATTAGCAGAGATTCCCCCCCTGGTGCTACATAGCTATCAAGTTAAGTTAAAGCAGTATTGTTAGTTATCGGTAACTAGAAAGCTTTTTTAAATAAGATTATCCTTAGGTTTTTATCACATTTTTCTTTTTTTTTCTTTCTTTTTCGAGTTTTCGGCAATTTATCATTTTACATACTTATTTACCCCTCATGATTGCTCATCAAGCAAAATAAACACATCAGTAAATATACATATAGATAGATAGATAGATAAAAATTCAGTCACTGAACTTTTTGCTATGTTGGATCTAGCTCACATATTGGCAAATTAAAAATGTGAAAAATTTGGAAGGAGGTTTGGAAAAATGAATAGAAAGTATGTTTTGTGTTAAAAATGTTTCATTTAAAAGCCAGAAGAAACAGGAAGGATGAATAGATGATAAGCAAGATGGGTATGGTACAGTAAAATTCTCCCTCCACCTTTTTTTGTCTCTTTTCGTCCTTCTTCTCATCCATCCCTTCCTTCCTTTGCAAGTATAGTCTGTAGTCTGTAGTCTGCGATATAATGATATACAGTACAACCAACCAACCAATCAACCAAATAAACAAGCAAGCAAGCAAATAAATAGCCACCATTCGTCAATAAAAAGCTATGCATGCATCATGTATCAACAAGATAAAAAGATGACAGAGTAAGGAACACATAGAAAGAAAAGCTCCATCCACCTATATCATAATCTAATTGCATCAATGAGCTGGAATATGATGCAGATATGCAAAGAAAGCATCATTAAGTGCAAAATAAGGAAAATGGGGAAACCAAACAACCAAAAGAGACAGCGCTGTCTACCTATCTACGTTTGTAGATAGGAATTTTAAAACATGCCAAAAAATCATAAATACTGTTAACCATGAACAGAAAAGAGAAACAAAATCCGTGGCACGCATGCGGCTAATGACAATACTTGCGTAACACTTCTCCCCACGACTTCCGCCGGAAAAAGAAAAACAAAATCATTGATCAGGTCGCAATCCTGACCTATATACGTCTGTAACTTCAAATAAAGAGTCCCCCTAAAATTTCTCCATCAGTCGCCTGCGGACAGTCCACATCCGAGCCCTCTTTCCGTAGATATACATTGGAATCGTGGTGAGCATGCAGGCAATATGAATTCCACCCAAGGCGACAAAGACATCCCGTGCCCCGTCTGCTTTAAGCCATTGGACGAAAAACAAGGAAAAGATGAAGCCATGCAATACATCTATTATGGAAGAATTAATGGTTAGCCATTGGGCCATGTTGGTCATCGTGATTGTAACAGGGGAAGTCCACGAGCAAGAAATTAAGAGAACTTACTTTTGCTGAAGTTGAGCGTAACCAGAGCCTCGCCTGCATACTGACGGTAGCTATCGACGCAAAAGGTAATGGATGTGGTACTTCCCACGGAACATCCGAAGGAGAGAATACCGAAGAAGACAGTGGGAACGATCCATCGTTCTTTTTCCTGAGCACTCCAACCAAAGCCCATCAGTCCCATGGCCGTCGTCAAAGTAACTGGCACAGCCATAACAAGGCGAAATTCAGGTTCGTAAATTCCGCCATTTCGACGTGTCATGAACCGCACTACAATGTCCGAAACCTTGCCTGCCACCACCGTTCCGAGAATTCCGCCTACGAATGGGGATATATATACAAGACCAGTACCGAGAGCGGAAAAGTTATAGCTGTCCTTATCTCGATAGATTTCTGCCACAGCTTCTGATAGGACGATCAACCATCCGACGGATAGAGCGTAGACCATAGCCGACCACAGGACGGCAGGGTAGGCGAATAGGATAAATGGGCGGATCATGACCCGTAGCCACTTATCTTGGGAGAACCGGCCGTGAAAGAGCCGAAGAGAGTGGACGTATCCCACAGGAGGCTTGGACTGGAGATTGCTAGTGTAAGGATGGATTGGAGGAAGGGACGAAGCGGATGGGGCGGCAGATACGTCCCGAGGAGGTACGGCACGAGCAGCTTCAACATCAGTTGTTTGACTCTGTAGCTTCGGACTATTCGGTGTGCTAGTTTGGTCGTCAAGCGCAGCTGGTGGGACAACTTGTGAATGAGGACGCTCTCCTTCATTTCCGCCTTCTTCCGGGGTGTGCTCGCCGGCATTCGGACCGCATTTCTCGTTATGATCATCTCCTCCGTTATCGTCATGGGCGACTTCGGCAAAGCCGACGCGGGCATCTGGTCGCTTTGATAATGCTTCAGGAGACAGCATTGCATCCTGGTCCTTTTCTACAGTAGGGGTGACAGGGTTAGAAAGTCGGCCTCGACGCCCCGGCGCGAGATCAGAAAGGCTCCGGCGATAGCTAGGCCGTTTTTGGCGAGGACGTGGAGTCCGGTCCCAGAAGCTCTCTGGGACAAAGAAAAACACTAAAACAAGCCCAAATCCAACCGTAATGGCCACAATCCTGTTAAGAGTCAGTTAAAGCATTCTTTAACTAGGTAGAGGGAGGAGTTGAGGCCTACCAGAATACCCAACGCCAACCTAAACCCTGTGTGATCGCAGCGCTAACTAACGGGACCAAATTTTTGCCGCCCAGTAATAGGAGAGTGTAAATTCCAACACGATATGCACGCTCATGCAAAAAGAAAATCTCTGCGATTGTAGCAGAAGGAAGGCATTCAACCGGACTGACGGCAAGACCCTGGAAGATACGTGCAAGAAGCAAGCTCACAAAATTGGGCGAAACAGCACACCAAACCGCCGAAACGATGAACAGGGCAGAGCCCAGAAGATAGATTGGGCGCTTGCCGTAAAGAATTGCTGTAGGGGACATCACCACTGAGCCAAGGCCAAGTCCCAGCATATATAGGCCAGTGGTAAGCGCCACCTGGTGCGTTGTGATGCCAAAACTTTCCGATACATCGTTGTATCCAGCTGCTAGAATCGGCGTCATTCCCCCTCCGATCATGGAGTAAAAGCCCAAGGATAGCAGCGAAAGGTCCCGGCGCCAGGCAGGCCAATTAAGCGGGTCATTCAGTGAATCGTCTGGCTGAGGATCCAGGACGATGGCACCGTCAGAAGTTCGCTTCTTCTGGGGAGCAGGAGTACGCGACGACGATCGAGAAGGCGGATAGGGAGACGGAAAAGACGACGCTGATGTTCGCGCAGGCTGTTGTCGAAGCCCAAGCGGTTCATTTCGGTTGGAGGATAGTAGAAGTATGGTTCCTGCATTAAAATGGTTTTTAGTATATGTGAGATGAAGGTTTTCAGAGATCCCATACAACGAGGATCTCAAGACATACCAGGTACTTCATCAGTCTCCTTATCGCCTAAGATACCCAAAGACCACTTCTCCCGCTTCTGGCGGAAGTCATTTGATGCAACTGATTTATCTTCACCGCCGGTGTGTATTCGCAATATTTTCTTCCATCTCACTCTGTCCTGCGCCGGCGGGGAGCTGGAGCCGGAGCCGGAGCCGGAGCCATTGCTATTGCTATTCCCCGGGTTTTCATAAACACTGCCATTCTCACTCGACGGTGCTAAGGAAGGACCAGGAGGAGTTGTTTGGTGTGCAGACATGAGGGGTGGTTCGGGTGCGAATCGTTGAGAGTGGTATCTCAGGCGCGCAACTTGTGTCTATAAATAGAGTACGGTAGCCAGGACAGGCTGGAGGGAAATACGGAATTCACCCTTCAACGAGTCCCAGATGAGAAGGGAAAGGAGGATATTATTCACAAGAATCTATAATAGAAAAAGAGATGCTTATTCTATTGGAGGGAGAAGAGAGAAAGACCAGTAAACCAGACTGGACTGGGGAAAGCTTTGATGGGTAGCAAGCAAAGCCTTACCACACTCCCACCAACAGCAGAACGAGGAAGACACAGGGAATATCACAAAGATGTAGTAGACAGGAAGAAAAAGAAGAAGAAGAAGAAGAAGAAGGGCAGAGGAAGAGCGGGGAGCGAGCGGGCAAGATATAAACCCCAGCGTGCGCAAAAAGGCAGAGAGGAGAGAGTCGAGGTTGGTTTGGTTTGTTTGTCTGCAGCTGCAAAGGAGGAGCTTGTCGACAGGCATTTGCACGACATGCATGCGCTAGGGACTTGGCGTGTACCTCCCCCGTGCTACAATGGTTCACTCTATTTCAGGTATCCACCCGGTACCCCAACCCAGCCATCGCTAACAGTCCTCGCCTGCTTCCCTCATCGTACGCTGAAGTTATTATTAACTTATAAAATACGCTGTAGTCAATCAATGTGCCGGGGAACAACTACAGAGCATACGCTTCAATTCACATCTTGCCATTGCGCCCATTGCTCCCATGTGTATATTCCTCACACCAAACTTCACAGTACTTCCTGTCAATCAGCACCACCGATCCAGTGCTGCACCCAAGCTCCTAGTGTTCGTCTCATGCTTGTCCGCGTGAAAATGTAAACTCGGAAGAATGGCGTCATGGCTGTTCTTGGGCCCTGCAGATGAGGCGTCTAATGGCCGGGGGAGGTTGCACTTATGCCTTGGCAGAACACGGCTTTCGTCGCGCCGCTGCAGCCGTGACGGATGTGGACGGGGAGATATGCGTCGCCATGCACAGCGTGGGAGGCGGGGCTTTCTCACCGCCATACATTGTTGCTACTGACATTTCTCATCTGCGGCTTGCTGTGGGGAGAGAGAGAGAGATTGCCACAGCGTGATCTGGGTAAGCGGCGACTATCACCGTGCAAAGACTGCTAGTAACTACCTAGCCAGTCGCCTGTCATCTGATGGAGACATCAGCGCTGATGCGGTCATCGTGCATTTCCTCAAGCTTGCCGCGGTCGAATTGCTTGGTTTTCGTTCGCTTTCGTCGGGATGATCAATCAAAACCCATATATTGGGCTTCGTCGTCGTCTGCACAAGTCATGCATCCTTTTCGAAAATTACCTTTTCTTGAATGGCTTCCTCGGGGTCCTTTGCGAAACTTGATTCTCCGTCTTCGCCGTGTTGGGCTGTTCGCTTTATGCCCCAGGTGCAGGATTCTCGTCGATATCCCTGGATATATCAACGTCACAAAAGACGCACACAAAGACCGTGCTGGTTCATTGTTAAATGCTGCACCTCCACAATAGCATTCTACGTGCTGAGACGGTCTGTCTATGAATTAGCAACATTCCTCAGCCGTTGTGTTATTCTACTTCTCAAGGGCCACCTGTACTGGCCTATTCCGCACAGTACATTTTCTTCCTCCTCAGCTTCACTCACCTGATAAAGATATACCCAAGCCATATACTTCGAAAATGTGGAATCACCAACGTATTGTCCCCAATAATATCCAAGAGGTAAACAACGACTGGGCTTAGCGATGCCCCTAATCAATATACGAAAAGTACAAGTTTTCTAAACTACTAAGAGAATATACAATGCCCTCTCATCGCAGTCAACCGCAAGCAACCTCGACCTCAGACACCAAGATGACTCTCAGGGGAACATGACCATGGCTTCAGTATGCATGATCACTTGCTGGTCATGTACTGCTTGCTGTCTGGTACAAGTATACCTTTTTATGTACAACTTTTTATCCTCCTCCTTCCACTGCTGACATCCCATATGCCTATATTACAACTCTATTATATGCTCGTGCTCGCAATTATGAGGTCCTTCACTGCAGCTATATCTAGGTATATAACGATTCCCCGTCCTTCAAAAAAAAACCCAGTTAGCTCAGAAAATCATCCTCATCACGTCAACTGTGAGCATACTTGATGCGACAAAGCCTGCTACCTAAGGTATTTGCTAATCAATCCACGTTTGGTATAGGCGTACACATATACCACAACTTATCCTTATATATCTATACATTACCCCATCAAGCTTGTTGATTATCAATTTCTGAAGAATAATATACCTTCGTGAATACCGCCGAACGCGTATAAAATGGTTGGCTTCCATTTTCCAAATATCCTGCACCGAAAATCACGCCCACGAACAACTGGGGATTCTTCGTCTCCAGCTGAGGAGTGCAACAGCCCGCAGCAAAGCAGTCAACAAAGCGACTCACAAAACCCCCCCGGCCTAAGTACCCAGAATTCATCATGGCCATCCAGCGAGTTGTCCTCTGCACTCCCTAGCCGTCCTGGAGCAATCGCGCCACCCACCCCTTTATCCTCGCCCACTTCCGGGGCCACCACCAGTCGAACAAAGAACGCCAGCAACAGAAACAAAAGTAGCACCAGCAAAAATAACAATATACGGAGACGCCCAGCTTCAGTAAAGCGGAAATCCTCCGATTCCACAAGCAGAGCCAGAACCCCGACAAGAAACACAGACCTTCCGATCCCAACCATAATCCACCCCAGCACTCCGTTACCTCGTCCATCTTTGTCCTCCCGCTCCCGCTCCTCAACCCGCCCAAAAAAGTCCCACCTCACCCGCCACCCGTCGCAAAGAAAGCCAATTCTTAAACTTCCAACAACAGCAGTAGTAGACGACAATGCACAGGGACGGATATCCATGCCATATACCTCCCAAGCAGATACCCGACTCAACACAGAAAGAAACACCTTCATAACACGCTACGATACCGCCACACAAAACGAGCTCGGCGAGATGTCGCCCTCCGCGCGGCGCCGTCGCGAGTCCGCCCCATCGCCGATGTCGGCGATTAATTTCGTAATCTCGCTGAAAACAAATTATCATAAGGAGCCGTATGGTTATGAAGATGGGGGTGATGATGGGGAAAGAGAAAGGGAAGGTGAAGGTAAAGGTAAAGGCAAAGGCGCTGGTGCTGGCGCTGGCGCTGCTACTGGTACCAGTACTGGTACTAGTAGGCGAAGCAGATCGTCAAGTTCCCACCGATCCAAGCACAATAATGAGCAGAAGCAGAAGAAGAGGAAGAGGGAGAAGAAGAAAATGGTACGCTTTGATCATGTTGATGTTCATCCGTATGAGGTAGAGCGGGGTGAGGAGTCTCGCTTTCGCCTTTTTAGTAGGCGGGCGGCGGAGGGCGGGGTAGAGGCGATTGAGAATGAGGGTGGGAATGAGAATGAGAATGGGCGAGTGGGGAATCGGGGTGAGGATGTTGCTGAGCTTGAAATGGATCTTGATCTCAGGGAGTATGTGATGGATATCCCGGATGTTATTCAGGGGTGAATCTAAAATAGTAGGGAATTAGGAGATGGGGGTCCAAGTGAGGCAGATTTGCATGGTTTATGGGTACAAAGTACGGAGGTCTTGGTTCTCTATTCTTTTGTTTCTTTTCTTTGCCTTTCTTTTCCTTTTTATTTTTTAATTTTTTTCCCCTCCTGTGTATGTGTATTTTAACCACACATATTCCACGTATATTTGGGGAAGGGGAAATCTGTGACGCTAACATGTACATGTACTATTAATCAATAACGTACAATAACCAACCCTTAAACAAAAAGAGGGCACAAAGAAATCAAGGACACAAACATCACACTTTCTTCACCGTAAAATATCCCTCATCGCCTCGAGCAGCTAGGCCCGCCGATGACCACGAAGTCGTGGCAGAGCTAGGGTAACCAAAACTAGATCCAAAACTAGAAGTCAACCCTCCACCTTCCAACACTCCCCCCTGGAATGTTTCAGAAGTCGGTGTAGCAGCGACAGGCGAAGTAGGAGCCGTCGCCAGCGCCATTGGCGTCACAGGCGGCTGGAAGTCGAGCACGATCCTGAGGTTTTCGAAGCAGAGCTCCTTGAGCTGGTCCCAAGTCGCACCGTTCTCGACAGCCTGGCGGAAATCTTCGATGGTCATGCCCTTGATCCAGCTTCTGGTTCTTGGCTCGGAGCCGGTCGAAGACCTGTTGTTACTGTGTCTACCCTTCAGGGACGGGCGTTGAGGTGTTTTGGTATCGGTATCGGCACCGTTGTACCTGTGCTCCTCTTGACCACCGTCATGACTGTCACTCATCAGCCCAGTCCCGATCATTTTCGAGATGAGTCTCGGATTCTTCCCGAATCTCTCCTTCTTCCAAATACGGGCGAAGTCCGTCGTGGGATATAGGTCTGGGTATAAGGGGATAACTCCCTCGGGCAAATACATATGAAGAAACACCTGAGCTGTGACCAGCGCAGTCTTCTCGCAAACAGAGTCTCTCTCGCAGATGGGCACGACGAAGTCGGTGATGTTAGGGAATCCATCCAAACCCAGCGCAGCGGTGGTGTCTGGGTATTTCCAGCTACCGCCTACATACTTGGCCAGCTTCATGATGATGTCACGGATGGGTTGTAAGCTGGAGCTGGAGTTGCTGTTGTCTCGTTTAAAAGAGATAGGGGAATGGAAGAGGGCTGTGGCTTTCGTCCCCGTGCCAGGACAGATGGCACAGCGGAAATCGGTTGCGTCCAGCATGGCTTGTTCGTGAAATGCTGCGATGTGTTGGTAGCACACATACTCGGGCTCTTCCCGGTCTCCGTAGCCAGTAAGCATCTCTGTTGGCCAGTTGGAGGTGAAAAGTAACATATTCAGTCGGCCGTGACGGGGTGGTTCTTTGGGATCGACGATAGGGATGCCGGAGAAGACAACAAGGCGGACTGGCTGCATGGTCTCGAGGCTCATATGGCGCGAAAGAGAAGGCCTATCGCGCTTCTTTGGAGGGGCCTGATCGTTCTCTGTATCGCCCTCACTGTCAACATCGTCGTCGTCTTTCTCGGTATCGCCGTCGCTCAGACCCATGTCATCCTCCCAAACACTTTCATCAAATGCGCCTTTGGAAAAAGAGTCTCTGGATGAAAACCTAGCACTAGACCGCTTATTATCACTCTCCAACCCCTTCAGAATCCCCTGCATAAATGAGTCGATAGCCTTCTCCGCGATGTTCTGACACTCCCCATCCGGCTCGCAGACTGGCACCGCCAAAATATTCACAAAAGGATGCGTTTCCGCCTCGTCATCCATTCCCTCAACCTTCTCCACAATCCCAATAGCCTTCTTGGCCTTCTCGCATGTATCAAATTCCTCCACCAAATGCGCAATAGCCATCATAAGCTTGCGCATCCACAGCCCATCTTCTAACATCTCATAACCATCCACAGAGCAACAAAGTGGACGATAGACCATTGCACTCGCCGCGCTTGCCTTTCCCTTCCCTTTGCCTCCATCACCATCACCATCGCCATCTTCATCATGGCTGCCACATGCAGCACAACCACCCACACACAACTTCAAAACCTCCTCACTGAACCCTGCAGCCAAATAGGCCAGCTCCTGAAACTGCGGCAACCCGCTTTCCACCGTCTGGCAAGCATAAAATGCATTCTTCATTTTCTCTTTTCCCTTCTCCTTCCCCTTCTTCCCTTGGCCCTTGCCCTTGTCTTTACCGTTCTGCACCAGCACTTGTCTGCCACACTGTTCGAAGAACTCCGTGTGCACGGAAGCGTTGTCAGTGAACGCGACGTGCTTAAGCAGCTGGCGGGACAGATCCGGTTTCCCGTAGAAAACATTGAAAGTCACCGCTGTCTCACGCTTGCGGTCGCGGGTTACTTCAGTGATTTCGGTGTCTAAAACGCTACTCTCGTCGATTCTAGATGGGGTGGGGGTTGAACGCCGGCGGCGGCCGAATAAAGGAGGTTTTGGCATGGCTGCTTGTTTTCCTTCCGCCGCTCTCTTTTTCTGCTGTCCTCAAGGAGCTGGCGGGGGGGCTTTCTTTTTCCTTGCTTGGAATCGATTGCGGCTTGACGAGCTGTTCCTTCTTAACTCTTGTTTTGCACGTAACTTCTGATGATTGATTGAGGATAGAAGGGATGCACGATATGCACCGGTTGGATAAGAACTTTGAGATGCGTGGGGAATTGAAAACCAAGCATAAGCAACACAACACAGCAAAATCAGTGAGAATGTGTTGATGAGTGCTGAACAGGAATGTGAGAAAGGAACTGGAAGTTCCATGCCTTGTGTTGTTCTTGGGTATGATGGGTATGAGGTGTTGATCACAGTCTCAAGGATGAATATTGCATTGGATCCTAGTGAGACTGATCAAGATTAATTGTGCAGAGGAGATGCAGAGGAGAAAGTAAACAGTTTCTATACTCACTGTGTTGCTTTGGAAACTAAGAGCCACAAGACACAAAGGTGTTCAACAGTAAAGGTCCATCCCTTTTGTTGCTTCGGGGACACAAAGGGATACATCAGCCGGCGATGATGACTTGACGAATATCATGGGATAAGTGGGAGGACAACACAGCAACCGTGCCTAAGGGGTAAAACTGATTTATGCATTGGAAGCATGACACGCTAGATGACTCGATAGGACTATCTTTTGTCATAGATGCAGAACTTTTCAATGCGGTGTGGATGTATATATTACAAGGAACAGTATTTATTTCACAATAGAAAAAAGAAAGAGAAAGAAATGCCAAAGCATCTCCATTCAAAAGCAAAAGATATTTGCAGACAACAAAGAAAAGAGAAACATAGATTATAAAAAAAAAAGATATCAGGAACAGAGACATACTCAGCGTAAGGTACGGCTTGCAAAGAAAGCAAGAAAATAAACCACGCCAGCATGTGTGTCGACCAAAAAAAACATAAAATGAAATAAAAATAGTGAGAGCCCCATCTCTAGTAGATGTCAGATCGTGGCTTGTTTATTTCTTTGCAGACAGGAATATCAAAGCAAGAAATCTATAAGTTAGACCAGCAAGAAAGGAATCCACATTGTGGACAGCCAAAAAAAAAAAAAAAAAAAAAAAAAAAAAACCTAAGTCGAGGTCGCGTAGCACAAGAGGGGCACAATGAAAATAATACATGAAGAGTAAAAATTAAGCAGGTCAGGACAAACAACCTGGAGTATTAAAATGTGGCGCAAAGGGGAGGAAAGTCGGTAATAGGAGTAGTCCCGGCGCTAAGATATCACAGGCGCATTCATTTTATGCAATATGATCATTTCGAGTTTTGAGGAGTGAAGATGCGTTGTTAATGAAACCAGTGAAGAGGATAAATGCATCTGCCGTGGACCCGATAGCATGGAACGTGCGCCAGGATCGATATAAAATTAATAGATCGCTTCGAAGATGTATATGATACCGAAAATGAAAAATGCCGCGGCGCCGCCAAATGTTACTATTCAACAAAACGCAGACCATTAGTTTTACGAGTGGTATGATTATATTCTCCAAAGGTATGACATGATACTTACCAGCCCGCATGCTAACTCTGCCAGCAATTGCCCGTCCCCCGATCACTGCTGCTGCTGTACAGATTCCATGACCGGTGACAGCGCCACACGTAACCCACCAGTAATCCTTACCGGCAGCCATAGCAATAGTAGCAATCTGGCTTCGATCACCCCACTCTCCAAGAAAAGTCATGACGAATGTTTGAACCCACGCAGGGCTCAAAAGAAATGAGAATAAATTGTTCAAGCCAACTCCCATGCTTGATAAAGAGTTACCACGGGAGGGGGAGCTGCCTCTTGACGATGATGAGGAAATACTTTCAGGAGGCGGGAGGCGGTGGTTCGAGGAGCGGCTCTTCCGAGGGCCACGCCCAGCTTCGAGTGCATAGGGGCTAATAGATCCCCGTCGGTTTAGTCGCCGGTGTTGATGTTCTTTCTCTTCCAGTTCCATCTCGACCTCTTTCATCTCCTCACCCACACCTTCGTCGGGAGCCATTTTTTTTGCTTCGAAAGCCATCTTCACGCCAAAGATAAGGAAAAGCACCGCAGCTAGAATGTTTGTGAACGATTTCGAGATTAGGGTAGGGACAGCATGGCCCAGGAGAGCGGATAGCACGGTCATTGCGATGAGAGCGGTGAAAGCTGAGGAAAAGACAACCATGCGCGGATGGCGCATGGCCATCAGGGCAGCAACAAGGAATGTTTTATCGCCGACTTCGGAGAAGAGTATCATGGTGAGGGAAAGCAGGAATGAATGTAGTGGCTGTATCATGTTTTCGGGTACTTGGGAGTATTTATAGTGAGATGGGTCTGTTGGAGAACCCTGTTGATCAAGGTCGAGAGGATCACTTGGACGGCCAGGCGATGCAGGTCGGGGAATGGAATGGGGTAACTCGGGTAGGTCTTCTGGCTTCTATACAACGCAGAGAACACAGAATTAGCTTCGAGTACGCATGTGCATCAATCACATAGGGTTTCCACTGCTTACCTCCAGCACTGTATCTTTTTCCGAGCCATCGCCTTCTGTCTTTGGTTCAGCCTCGTCGCCAGGGCTAATCTTCTGTTGCTCACTGTGCGGTAAAGGGGGGACTTCCTTTGGTGGATCTGGATTCTTCACAGTCCCAGAATTGGATTCCTTGTTTTTCTCCGAGACACCGCCCTCTGTCCCTGTCGTCCCCTCCTTGGGCGGCTCCCGGTTCGGATCATCCATAACCCCATCATTTGACGCGGGAATTGGTCTCCCATCTGGTCCATAATGTTGTGACGGTGGATCAGTCGAATCGGGGTTCACTGGTTGCTCCCCATTCGGCGATTCTTTCGCCTTCTTACGATCCCGGCCAGCATTTGTCTCAACCCAAGGTCCTGCGTGTGGTTTCCCGTCCTTCCCATCATATGGTACATCTCGAGCTTTGGGCGATAAGTTATCTTGGTAATTGGCTAGTGGTGCGGAATCGGGAATGGCAGCCCGATTGCTTATTAACGACCTCGAATTAGCAAGACCACTGGAATCTATTAGTGGATTGGCCAAGGTAGAGGTGATGGCCGGGATGGCAAGGAGGAGGAATGGTGAGGGAAATCGTCTGATCCTCATGGCGGAAAATTGTATATCTGAGGTTGAAACAGAACCGTAGACACTACTTAGGGAGATGCTCAATCGACTCCGACGAGGCAAACGGTTGAATCAAGAGTGGGCAATCAGGAAAATATGTAGGATCGGGTTCGAGAAATATGTCTGGAATGCACGAAGGAAGCCAGCTGGCAGCAATGATAAGGATCGCGCAGGTGTTTGTTTATGTTTAAGGGGAGAAGAGAGTGACAAGAAAGGCAAAAACAGGCTCATCAACGATAATAAAACAAACAGAAAGGACTGTCATATATGCTCTCTCTGTAAATAACACTTTCAAAACAAAGAACCCTACTTGCTAGTTAACACATCCAGAGACATTTTAGCATCGCGGGTTACAGTTGAACATTGGAGCCAAGTTTTCGACCACTTTTCCGAACACATGTTCAATTTTAGCATTCCCTCTAAAACACATACACACTACACATCTCACACATAAGACACAGATATTACTAATCCAGTCTAACCCTCTGCCAATCCCCCTCATAATATTGATTTTTCATATTTTTCAAAGGCTCTATATCTTTCCTGTTTAATCTAATTCTAATTCTAATTATGAACTGTCTAATTTACACTCCTTACACTAAGGTAAAAGAGAGTTGAGTGAGATGTACCAATCTTGGAATGATTTGCTGAATCTGTCTAGTGCATGTACTTTTAATGGGCTCCTGCCATGGGTCGTCCAAGGTGAAATTGAGTTTGGAACCCACACCAAGCTGTTTTTCCAGCCTAAGTTAGCACCACAATCAGTTTTTGTTGGCACCACATTCAACTGTATTTGCCCCTGAAGTCGCTGCCGCAAACTCGAAAGCTGTGGATGAGTAAGCACAGGGCTGGTGCGGTGCTGCAGATCTAAAAGAGGATTAGCCTGACTCCCGAGGTCTGCAAGTCAAGTCATGTGACGTAGGTCTTGGCCAGGGTTAGGGTTGTTAGTTAGCTCATCTTCTCTTTATCCTTTATCCCATGCGAAGCGCGACTTTGAAAGATTCGCCATCATCACAACAATGTCATCTCTCGCTCTTTGGCGTCATTACTCATTGATTTGATAGCCCAGCCATTGAAATTACGCCGGTGGTGGGTCGTTGAAAATGCCGGCCGCTACGCGAGCAACATCAGTTCGCGCCCAGTGGAAAAGCGCTTCTAAACAACCACCTAACTTGCCCCGTTCCACTCGACAAACCCGGAGCCGCAGCAGGGAATTGGGTGGAATAGATCATGCGCCTGCTTCCCCCTCCAAATCTGTTGCCACTTCAGTGAACTCAGATGATTCCGATGTTGATCTATCTCATACTCCAGTAAAGAACAATCGAGCTGGAAATGTTAGGTCTAAGACTCGCAACTATGGTTGGTTTTGTCTCCTCTATATCCTCGTTATACTTCATGGCAGTTCATCCAGGCTGTGTTCTTTAACTAGACATTGACTGGTGAATGGAATTGGTCTGGATTATTGTCGTCATTGTCGTACCTAGCACACGTTGGACCCAAAAGTATCAATTGCATTCATTATGAATAGGATAACATCGTAGCTTACACTTTTTTACCACGGACAGAATTGTCCCCTGTCTATGAAAGCCCTCGTAAGAATGCTGCCGGCAGGTTTAACACAGACCTTACGAGGCAAAACTCGAGACGCAGCGAACGATCTGTTCCTGAATCACCTGTCGACCATTTCAATATCACGGGGACAACCCTGCTCGCTACAGATTCCGAACATGAATCGCGAGAATTAGATCCCAGTATAATGATCGAGGCATTACCCGACCTAGATACTTCTACAAAGAATGCTCTACGAATCCTAGTTCCGCAGGCCTTTTCCCTCACGACTCTACTTAAAAATCTTAAAAACGCCACCTTCAGAGCAAGAGTCAAGCGTATACGGGACACGTTTGAGACCCAAAAGAAGTACTTTGGCGGTCAGCACTTTATTACCGTCGAAGCTGCAGTAAACATGCTCCCATCCTTGAAACACATTCCGTGGTATCCAGACGAGTTCATCCAAAAAGCCAATCTTGTGCAGTTTGCATTAGATCTCATCCCGTTGCGTGGGAACATGTCTCCTTTCTCAGAATATCATCTCTCAGACCTCGATGAATCATTCCCGGCGTTATTCATAAGTTCGTTCTTGTCACCAGAAGACGATCGAATTACAACGCCAGGGCAAAGCGCTCTGCTCGACGAAACTTTCCAATTGGGCCTAGAACTACGCACACAACGTGCCATTGCGGAGCTCCGATCGGGGGAACAAGAAATAAATGTTGAATTCGCCCCGGACAGTATACTGGAAACTGTCTTTACCGCGTTTGCGAAAAGCGGTGATGAGTCTGAAAGATTACTCGGCTGGAAAATCAGCGGCCTACGTGACGAGGGTGGCGGAATCCCCGAGCGATTCTACGAAAAAGTTCTCGAGCGGCGAGCGTCAATTCGAAAGACATTTAACGTGGATGAGACCACCACTTTCGTTCACTTTGACGAACTGGAATCCACGTTTCCTTGGTCGGAATTCGTTGTCCAGGCATGCAAGTGGATTCGCATGAGAGCAAACGAAATTGATGAGCAATTAGAGAAGCAAGCATCTCTTAATGAGGCTGTTGAGATCCTACAAATTGAAGTAGATCGCCGATCAAGCCTTGACCAACAAAGTATCGCTTCCATTCCCAAATCGACAACTTCTGCCCCTTCTGTCACCGACACAGTAGGCGTCGAACAAGCGGATGTTCAGAAACCACAGATAACGGAATCCACAAGCACCAGGAAGTCTATGCTCTCTATTGGAAAAGGGTAGGTCCTGATTGGTTTATATGCAACGAAGCCACTATCTATCACATACCCTATTGTCATACAGAGTTCCCCTTCAGTTATCATCGATCCTTGCACAAAATACTTACTGGGATTATATTCCAATAGATTTTTCAAGTCTAAAGCCTTCGTGTCGCACTTGGTGAATCTTCAGGCCAGGGTGGGCTCTGCAGCTAGTAATGTACGGGTTGATCAACCTTCGGGAAGTCCACAAACAGAGGCTGTCGCAGCAGCCCGCGATTCGACCCCACATGTCAATGATGGTGAACAATCTCCAAGCAGACTTAGCGGGTCTCACAAAGCCAGTGCTCATGGATTTCGCCAAAGCTCTACCCCAGGCGAGCGCACACGTCCAGCACTACTTGGCGGATCGCCCCGTCCATCTCCGTCGGAAATCGTCAAGATAGCTGAACGTCAACGGCTTGCTACTTCTTCTCAACGGCAAAGACCAACTTTTAAAACCCCCCCAGCGGCCTTTATTGATCGCCAAGCTGACGCTCGTAGATTGTCTCCAATCGGTTCTAGCCAATTAGCATCATCTGATAGAAGCCGTTTAATTGGTCGTTCCAAGAAACGACACGCTTCTGAAGTTGAGGAGGACGAAGGGCATGCGGAAGAACGCACCCAATTCTCCGAAGAAGAAGGCTTCGAAGCAGACACTCGCAATATCCGAGTTGAGAAGAAACGTGCATCCATTGCGGGACTACAAGGTCGGAAGCGACGACGAGTTGAAACAGCAACTCCCTGCCCATCAGCCACGCCCCCAAGACAGTCGCAGAATCTCGAAAGCCGACAGGGTGGTCGAGTTGAGTCAGAATCAGTAGAATTCACAAACGTTGTGGGAAATATACCCCCAGCCAGCACTGCTCCTGAAATAAATCGACGGGTGCGGAAACCAGGTGGTGGTAGGATCCCATGGTCCGTAGATGAATGCAATCAGCTTAAAAATATGATTGTCAGATATGGACCCAAGTGGGCGAAAATCAAACAAGTTGACGACAGTTTGGAACATCCGAAGTTGATCATTCGAGATCAGGTGAATCTGAAAGATAAAGCAAGACAGATGGCTGTCGATTACTACAAGTATGCTTTATTTGTTTTTTCATAACTCTGTCCAAATTAAATCCACAAATGCTAATCTAAAACATTATTTCAAACAGGGCCGGCCAACCACTTCCTGAAAACTTCGAAAAGGTTCCTCTCAAAACTGAAGATAAACGCAAATTACGAGAAATGGGGATTACGATTTTTGAAGATATGCTTGAAAGGGATTGATATGACTCCTTTCCTTAAGCGGAATTCAGGTTGACCCCATAATGATGAAATTTTCCATTTCTACTTCATTTCAAGTGGGACATTCAGCTTTAACTCCGATATATATTTATTTTTAATATTGCAGGAAGCAAGGGATTCTGAAGGCGTTGAAGTTGGCTTTTCTGACACTTTACTGGGCTGGACAATAGGTGTTTTGGTTTTCAAATTGATGATACCCCACACTTCGTTTCTGTTTGCTTCATATGGCATTGAAAAGATGGTCAAGGCTGTGAATGGATTCTCAGTTGCTTTGCTCCCTTGCTTTTCTACCCGTACATAGGTTCCTCAAACTTTGGAAAATTCATGTGTCCATTCACTTTATCCTACCTGTGAACCTCTCCTCCTATATGTTTTTGAAACGCTCATGGTAACCTAAAGGCATATCATATCTTCAAGCATCCTCCTTGCAACTAGGAACACTCAACACCCGCTCTATGCATTCCAGCTCATCTCACATATCTGGCTTACTCAAGATAACATTCGTGCCAGGCCATATGAGAGCTTCGTTACAACCGATGGGAGCTTTCTTTAGCATCAAATCAGGACCTTGGAGCGGCCTGTCTGCAAAGTTTCAGAGCAGACGCCAAAGTGCCCGCTAAGGCATGATACTTGCAAGCTACAGAGGATGGCGTTTTTCAGGTATGTAGATTTTCGAAAACCATACTTGTCGCCCTCCATATTCCCAGAGGGAATTACTAGAGGACAGGGGCCCACCAACAAACAGCCTTTGCTGGTCTGTTCCACACGACCTTTCATTTCTACAAGCTCTGCGTCTCAGGTGTTTTCTGGCCTCCGTGAGTATTAACATTTCACGGAATATGTGAAAAAATCACTAATGCTTACAAAGGGTAGGTTCTACTTTGTTTTCCATGTCAGGATATCTCCGTCCGCGAAGATCTTCCAGCGGATGCTACCAAAGGAGACATACTTGGCACGCCTAGCCGCTCGAGAAAATCAGGGCTGAAGAAGGCAGGTAAATGAACGATGATGAATTTACCAAGAGACGTCCTGAGTAGGCAATTGGGCGAAAGTAATGGAGGACGGACCTGGGGAGATACAGAGACGAGACGATAAGCGAGTACAAAGATTCAACCCACCAAATAGGGAGAAAGCATAGGTGGGATGAGCGCAGGAAGGAGATCGGGAAGCAGTGGAGGGCCACCCAACCGCCCGGTGATAAAGTGTCCGGAATGCCACAAAGAAGTCTTCGAGTGTCACTGGAGCATGAAGGTGGACTGCCTCAAATCGAAAGTAGGTAACTCAGTCCTCATCAGCAGCGCCAACGCCCAATCTAAACTGTCACAAAAAGAAATGGAAACTCTCTCGGACGAGGCAAATCTTTACGCATATAACCTATACGTTGTATGTACATGTACATGTACAGTACATCGTGAATATAGGAGACTAATAGAGCATATAAACGGGGCCAAGCATTGAGACTCAACGACGAATGAAAAGGCAAATGAATGATCCATTAAAGTCCAGTTTTACCGACTCCCTAAAGGTTCAACGCCCACGGATAATCAATGAAGCCTCATCCCTGATGCTTCAAAATCTGGAACGTCAACCAACATCGGATTCGCGTGATGAAATTTTTTGAATCCAAATGCCATCCCCCAGAGCCCCAGATGTTGCATTCGTTTCAACTCGTATTAACAGTCATGGTCTTTCCGGGACAGCTTGCGGCTGAACCAAACAAAATTGAAGCTTAATTTTGGCCCCCACAACACTAGTCAGTTTACGGTTAATATCTTACTTAGTCATGCGGCACGGCTCAACTTTAAAGTTTCCAGATTCCAGGATTCGGGCCAATCTGCTGAATTAGGAAAAAGACACACAACTTGACCCCCGAAGGATCGCGCCGTCGATTCATCCTTCACAGCCCATCTCTTGTGTGATGCTGTTTGCAGTTCATTTTTCATCCTTGTGGGGTGGACGTTTTGTTGCAGAGTTGAGCTTCTACTGCTATATACGACTCTTGTTCAAAGCTCTCCCGTGTCTACAAGTCAGCGCTTAGAACTATACCTGCAGCCTTGCCGAAATGGCTTCACTCCGTGTTCACGACTCGCGATCTCGCACCCGATCAAAGTCCCCCAGTGGAAGGATTCGCGAGCGCTCACGTACACGCGAGACTCGGGCATCGTCTCCTCCGAGAGAAATGACCGGAAGATCCAAGAAGTACTTCCATCCGGACTCGGAGGAGGAGACCCTTTATGCTAGCTCACGGTCGAGCAGAAAGTACCACGACTATCATGCTGACGACGACAAATACCGACGCTCTGACAAGCCTAAACAACAACATCAATCGCAGCCACAGCCACAGCCACAGCCTCCTGGCTACTACGTATCGGATGAGGAAGCGGCGGTACGAAAACACACCAGCGCAGCGGAACCCCCTCGATCTGACAAATACCGTTACGACTCAGATCGTGACCGGCGATACTCTAGACACCTAAGTTCAAAACTGGCCTCAAGGTATGAACAGTACTCCGATGAGTCCTATACCGAATCGGAGGACGATGCCTTGGCCTATGGAGAGGTGCCTTATCCGCCGTCTGCCCCAAGTTACGAACGTTTGCGGGAGAAATACACCTCCTCTTCCACCAAGCAGCACGACTCAGATTCGGCGGGAGGTTCGTCCAAATATAGCCGTGCACTAGCCAAACTTCGAGGAGAAGAATCTCCCAAGTATCCTTCTCGCCACGACTACGATTCAAGAGAGCATCCAAGCTATGCGAAACTAGACGGTTACCGCTATGCACAACCTCCCTCACATCGCCAGAACAGACCAAGCGACACTGGAACGAGCCAATACGGAAACCAAAATAAATACCCGATTGACTGGGCGGAAGTTCCAGAATGCGAACGCCCTGGTTTCGTGCCTCCGCCTGAGTTCAACAACCCCGTCACATCTACACAGCATTCTACGCCGACTCCTGCTACCACGTATGCAATGCCCGATCCGCCCATTGTACCTCACGCTCCAGTCCCATCGAGCCAGTATCCTCTAATTTCTCAAGCTAGTTATAACCCACATCAATATGCCAATATGTCAATGCCATCATCTACTGGGACCGAGTCGCCTCCTACAACAACTATACAAAGCAAGTCGGGCCATCAGCGCGTATACTCGATGGGTACAACTCCAGCTACGCAGCCATATTATGCCCAATTAGCCCCATTCCAATACGCGCAGCCCGACCCTAATATCACATACACGTCAAAGCCCACCAAACCATATACACAGAGTATCAAACCCCACTCTCAGGCTCCTGATCCAACTTACGTTGAAATTAAACCGAAGAAAACGACCGAGCGTCCACACAGCTTGTCAATATCCTCCAATGGTCATATGGCAGTACCCGGTAGCTTTCCGGACGCCGGTCGTCCTCCTGCCAGCCCACTGCTCGAGGCTTATAAAGGAACATATCAAAGCATCTCGCCCATGCCATGGCCAACATCCGTTCCATCCTATATGGATGAAGGCTTATCAGATCTGGAGCCACTAGATGGCGGTGCAATCTCAGGCTCGGAGTTAGGTAGATCTAGGAAAAGTAAATCCAAGAAGGACGATAACAGCAGTAAGACAAAGAACAAGCCGTCAAAGCTCGATGCAGACATAAAAGTAATCGCACCGAAAAAGAAAGTATCCTTCTACGATCCAAAGCCCGACGCGAAGGAATTAAAATTGGCCCTACACCATTCCCACGCGGACCCTAAACCTCTAATAGATATTCTTCCTTATCTTTCTTCGGACGATCTGCTAGCGCTCCGTGCTGAATATAAAAATCTCGTTAAGATAGGCGGTAAGGGGGTTAATGTAGCTAAACATATCAAGGTACAAGTCCCAGGAAATTTCGGTAAAGTTTGCTACACGACAGCACTAGGAAGGTGGGAATCTGAGGCACACTGGGCCAATTTCTGGTACCGATCAAACTCACTGCGTCGTGAACTCCTCATCGAGTCGCTTATCGGACGGACGAATGCTGAAATCCGCGAGATTAAGAAGTGTTTCCGCGATAAGCGGTACGGAGATGATCTTGAGAAGTGCATGAAAGCCGAACTCAAAGCAGACAAGTTTCGTGCTGCGATCCTGCTGGCACTTGAAGAGCGACGGCAGCCCAATTCGGCCCCCTTGGACAAATCCCTTGTCCGCGATGACATGCGTGATCTCCACCGTGCTCTAATTTCGCGAGAAGGAGGGGAAACGGCGATGATACAGATTATCCTCGTCAGGGGCGATACGCATCTCCGTGAAGTTTTACATCTCTATGAAGATACATACCGCAAGAACTTCGCTAAAGAAATGATAACCAAATCACAAAATTTAGTCGTAAGTGTCTAGCCGTTTTGTGTTCATCTTTCCCGTGCCACAAAACGTCACTGACCACACCTCCTTTGCAGGGCGAAACACTCGTACATGTTCTCAACGGAGCACTTAATCGACCGATGCGGGATGCTCTCCTGCTCCACCAAGCAATTGCAGAATCAGGTACAGGTCGTGAACGAGCCGAGCTGCTGATTTCTCGACTGGTCCGCATGCACTGGGAACCTAACCACCTTGAACGTGTCAAATCCGAGTATAAAAGACGCTACAAAGAATCCGTCGAGGACGCCATCGACCGGGAAGTTATAAACGGGGTTCGGAAAGATTGGACGGACTTTTGCATTGGGTTGGTCAAGAGCTCGAGAGTTCACATTGCGAATGGAACTGCTTAGCCTTCCCATATGGTTGATGAAAATATGCATGGCTTATTGTTTATAGTTATGGTTATGATGTTTGCTCACGTTTACGGTTGAACTTTTCGAGTCCCTGGTGGATATTGTTTCTGATATTTTTGTAATGTCATCAATCTTTTTGGGTTATTATTTTATTTTAATTTTTGGGTTTCATATATGAATTAGTTCCGGAATTTCTCTTGGTAGTGAAGCTGCCAGCTGGTCATCCTGAGGCCTTTGTTCCCTGATTTTAGTATGTCATTTATTCAAATATATGCTTGTCATTGGTTCCCATACTTCTCGCGAAGGTTATATTCCATCTGCTTGCTGGGGCCAACCTCGGAAATCTTGGAACCTCCCGCCAGTGTCCAAATATAGAAACCAGAATAAGGTTACTTACCAGGTTTAGCTTCATTTAATCTGAACCAATTTGCCTGGCCAATTTCCCATATCTCAGGATGTTTTTTTGAGCTACAAAAATCCAGTGGGTGCTCACCGACATATCCGCCTTCAATGAACCTGTTCCTCCCGTGTCTGAGGCCTTCCTGATCTTGACTGACCGCTCGCTAACAAATACCGGTCTAGGTGAAACCACTTCCAGCCAGCATGCCATAGGAAATCGGTCAGAATTCATTAAAATTCCCATTCCTTCTCCGCTCGAAACAACATTCGTATTGCGGCAAGCTTACGGAATGGATGTGATCTCCGCACATGAGCCGGGCTAAACCTGGGAGGAAAACCCCTGGTTAGCTACTCTCTCTTGTCTCCCGTTAGCGACGGTGCTAACGGCCGCCTCGATTTACCAACTCGTTTCTCAACCCTCCCAACGACAATCCTATTGTAGCGGCCGTTGGCAGGAATAGACTTACCTTACCATCTTACCCCAGACGAATAATTCAACTGCTTTACTGAACAAAACAAAAACAACATACCCGCTCGGAATAATGACAAATTCACGCACTAACGAAGTAGACATGGACGTCGAGGCTCATACCGCCTTCACAGTGATGCCCTATATCTCCCCATCACAAACATCGCCCGTTGCTGGTATCAGTCTCAAACTCTCGTCGTCATGGACCTACTGCGGACCTCTGCTTACCCAACCACACCAAACTTTCCCTCCCTCATTCTTCACCTGGTCCGAACAAACCGTCAACGGCTCCATCCTTCCAGCTCTCACTCAGTTCCTCAGCTTCGTCAACGAATTCCTCCTTAAAAACAACCTCTCCCACTACTGGCTCACGGTCAAGGCGTCTAGAGGAACCAGCGAATTTGATACGCCACGATGGCATACCGATGACCTCTTTTACAGCAAGGGCGACGTGGACCCCATAACTAAGGTACATGAAACGAAATGGAAGCTCGCTACAGCTCTCCTCGGCCCCGGCACGCTCTTCTTGACCTCCCCCGCCCGCGCACGCTCCATCCACAACCGAATAAGAAAGTCGGTCCGTGATGAAACCGAAGAACATCTCTGTGCGCCTGTCCGATGCGTCGGATGCGCCACGGCTGCAGAATCAGTTCGCCAGCGTTTAGCTGAAGAATTTCGAGACCATGGATATGTACAAGCGGGACCGGGCGAGTGTACATTTTTCCGCGTCGGGGATGATGAGGGAGCGGTACATTCAGAACCTCCGTGCCATGGCGATCGGATATTTGTCAATGTGGTCCCTGGGCGGGAGGAGGAGTTAAGAGAGCTTATGAGGAAATGGGGCATGCAATTTCCCCGCGCTTGGTGTCTGGATTTACCACTACAGTTTGGTATGGGAGGGGAAGTTCGAGATGTTTGGTAATGTTTGATAATGTTAAGCTAAAGTGTGTTATGCCGGCAGTGCAAACCAATGTTTCTCCCTTTCGGTTTACGTTGCCTTGTCCAACGGTATTAAATTGGATTCCGCTCTCTGGCTTCATGCGACATTTCTTCCATATTCCTTGGTCCTTTTTAATTTTCTTTGTTGTCAAGCTGGCATTTTCAATCCTGATCACAATCGCACACCCCGTCCCACATCTACGACGAGGCCCGTTTGAAGGGTATATATGAGGTACAAAGAATCTCAGTTAATGGAAGGCTGTTTACAAAGGGTGTAAACTTTCAGCCGTTGCTTTGCATTGTCAATCGGAAGATATATGCGTCCCAGAAATCCAAACATTTTTAACATGGCCCAATTATGTTTCCCTCAGGTTGAGATGGTGACAAAGAGCATAGAACCTCATCCGAGGTTACCCCCGAAAGCCACGCGGGTTGCAGTTTTACATTTCGCGCAGGATCGAGGCTAAATGCCAGGGCACGTCGCACACTGAGCTATGTTCAAAACCGCCTGCTGGTCGCAATGATATAAAGTGACATACATACATTCAACAAAGGATGGAGGAAGAAGGAAACCAGACCAAAATGTTCACTCGCTTCAAAAGTGCATTTCTAATGTGTACTCTGGATCTGAAAGATCACGCCTGCAATGCAACGTTCCATCCCAGCCAGCTTAACTATGCTATGCATCTACGCATAATTTTGTCTGCTCATCAATCTTTGTGTGAATCAATGATTTTGCAAACACAGCCAGGCTCAATGGCACACAAAGTGTTGCCTCTGTCCTGCACAGCGATATTTGGTTTATTTGGCATTTTTGTACAGACATCCGGCATACCATAAAGAGTGCGCCTGCATCTGCATTCAATCCCAAGGCATCTTAACAAAAGGAAGATCTTCGACTTCCATTCTCCATCTCAACAGTTCCTTGCATGACAGATAACAAACCTTTTCATGGATACCACCACCCCTAACTAATTCCAACTAACCAGCGGCTAGCAAAACACACAAAAGTTAGCTTATTATCAGTCTCCCACCTCCTCTCTTCCATCCACGATCTCAAGAAAACTCAACACCCACCCACTAGGGGCCAACTTTTCTCCTCTATTCCCGAACTCCGAATCCACAATCCCCCTCCTCTCAGAATCCCCATAACCTCTCATCTCACCCTATCTCATTCTCTTTCTATCATTTGAACCCCCCCAGCCAATCTACATCATGAAGCTCACCTGGGCCCTCTGCGTGACATTCATAGGCCTCATGACAGCAGTGGCCGCCATGCCAGCGTCCCCCAATGAGGCGCGGGATGTCTTAAGTCCCAGCAGGAAGGTTGTTATTTTTTTTTATTTTTATTTTTCCAATCAATTTCACTCAACCTACCTTTCCATTCATCCCTCCCCCCCTTCATTTAGTGTATTTGCGCTCAGTCAAACCCCTCCACGCCACGGCTAATCAGATAAACCTACTACAGTGCACGGGGACATGCGTTCAAAGGGGCGGAAAATGCTGGGAGGAGGGATGTAGATGTAACCGATTTGTGAGCATTGGATTCCCCCCCCCCTCTTTTACTTTTTGATGGAGGCTCTCAATCTCGAAAACTGTCCACATGCAAGACTAACAAACCCCTCCCCCTCCTCAACATACAGAGCGGTTACTGCGTACCCTATAAACCATGATGACACCCCCCCCTCCCCCCCCCCGGGTACCTACTCGGAGACACGAGGGTTTGGTATGAGCCGGGAACAGGGACCAAGGACTGCCTGCCTGCACACGGGCTGGTGATAGGATACTTAACTTATATACTTAACTTATGTAACTTTCTAACGGAAGAAGGAGGGGAGAGGGAGGGATCAATGAATATACACCGCTGGTTTTACGATTTAGTTTTAGAGCGAATCCTTTGTGTTTTATTTTTGGGGGGATAGATAACTAGTGAAAAAGAGGGGAATTTTGCCCATAGTCGACGCGTCTTGTGGATTCCATCCATTGCGCATAGATGCCTATTTCGTTTTTCTGTTGTGTTATCTGTGTCGCTGAAAGGCTAGATGGGGTGTATGTAATACCGTGTGGTCCGCAAATCGGGGGACGATGGAAAACCCGATAACTCTTGATAGATAGAACAACAACGTACATCTACATATCCATGCACACAGTTGTTTGTTCTCACATGTGGTAGGAAGTAGAAGAGCGAAAAACTACTCGCTACGCAAAGAAACAGATATGAAAAATGAGAAAATTTGAGTTTTCTTTTTTAAGTCCCAATGGGTGAAGATAAAAAAAAAAAATCAGACATAAAAGATTGTCAACGGGTTAAGCTAGGTAAAGCTAAACTGAGCTAAGGGTGGGGGTAGTAGTACCTAGGTAATTGGAGTTTGTTTGAGCCAAAGGCTGTATGTAGTAGAAGAAGACTATGGTAGATGGAATGGATGGACGTATCAATCAGATTTGAAGAGTTCTTCATCGTTTTGAAAAGACAAAAAAGACTTGCTGGCATTCCAGGACGAAAGGGAAATAAAAGAAGAAAAAAGAAAAGGAAATGTAAAATAGGGATAGAGGCAGACAGTAGCCCAGGCAAGCTATGTGAGACCCGTTCGAAGAGCGCTGAGAACAAGAAAAGTAGGGGGTGAAAGAAATAAGGGGGGATGGAATCAAGGAAGAAGTAGTATGGAAGTAGGAAGTTGGAAGTAAAAATTCATGTTTGAAACATACAGCCCAGAGCAGCGTTGGATACGCGAAAAGCAAGAAGGAGAAAGTAAGTAAAAACAAAGGCCGCCTCAACGAGAAACGCATTGCGGGGGACGGGGGGAAATAAGACAAGAGGTGAAATGAAGTAAAGGGAAAAAAAAAAAAAAAAAACCCAATATGAATAAAAGAAAACAGGACAAGCGAAAGGAAAGATTTGGGGGATATATGTGTTGGTTAAAGCGTGGAAGTAGAAAGCAGAAGTAGAAGTAGAAACGGAAAGGAGAATAGAATAGCAAATAAAGAAAATATCCGTCCATCATCTTACACAAAACAAACTGTGTGAGAAAGGAAGGCAGGGTCACCCCTCAGATAACTGAGCGACATGCCCACTGCCTCTTCCTCCTCTCTCTCCTTTATTTTATTTATATTTTTTTTTTATCTCTTTTCAAAAAATTTCTTTCGACCAAAACTTGCCAGTCGACGCAAGCTCTCCTATTCTTTCTTCAGCCTCTCGATTGAAATTCGCGCGATAACGCAGCAATGGTGGAGATATTTTCAAGACCTGCAAGATAGAAAGAAAGAAACATATTGTTGACGGGTCAGCAGCCTGTCGCATCAAAAACAAAAATTGGCACAACAACACTCTCTCAAAATGTCCAGATCAATTCGAATCAAATCAAAAATAAAAGGAAAGGAAAGAATGAACGAAGAAGAAGAAGAAAGGGAAGAAAATCATCGAGTTGCACGCCCACTCCTCCCCGAACCACCACGGACACCATTCTTATTCGAGGATCTACCAGGTCCATTACCATTATTGTTAAGGCGACTAGTTCTCCATCGCTCGTACCACACCTCCCGACTGGCCTCGCGCAACTCGCCGCGCCACTCCCCAAACACGGTGTCCTTCAGCTTTACAAAATCGCAGTGTTCGGGATTATAAGGGTCGGCGAAACCCCAGGGGAACTTGCGACCGATGGGTCCGTTGTTATCCTCGAGAGAGTGCGGGTCGGGTGAGAGGATCGACAGCGGCAGGAAGGGGTATTCCGGGTTTGCGTTGATGTTCGCGTTGATGCTAGAAATGGACGTGGAGGATTTTCGTGTTCCACCGTTGTTCTGGCGGGAGGAGGGCGATTGTGTGATTGGGAGGGACATGGGGACTGTGTCTGAATCAGGGGTGCGGCGGCCAGTCGTTGGTTTTACGGCCCCGCCATCCATTCCGGCTCCCGCTTCGCCGTGAGCTTGGGCTTGGGCATCAGCTTCAGCTTCGGCGTCTTCACGTTGGATCAACTCGTCTTCATCCTGCTCATCGAATTTGTCCAAACCGTCGGACGAAGAAGTATCATCCTGGTCCTCAAGCGTCAAGACCTCCAGCGGGTCCAAGCCAGCCTTCTTGAGGCTTTCCCATACTGTCTTTTTGAGGAAAGCCATGTGGCCGGTGGTGATGGTATCGGCTTTGCTAATGATTGGCACGACGGTGGTCATTCCTTGCATGGTACGGATCACTTGGATGTCCAGGTTTTCATCCAGCCCTCCAATAAGACGCACACTCGACGATTTCTCCGGATCTTCCATTGACTCGTGGGCAGCGGCAATATTGGCATCCAGCCGCGAAGGGTCGAGGATGAGGAACGCGCAGTGAATGTGAGTGTCGCGCACGCCAGGCGCGCGAATTACTTTCATCTCTTCGTTAAAGGTTTCTTCGAATTTACTCTCTAAAAAGGTCGTGATCCCACGCAGCTGCAGATCAACAACATTAGACTCCAATCCCTGCGAATCCCACAGTGTAAGGCCTACGCGCTCTCCGTCAATTTCAGTTTCCAGGTAGTGCGAGGTGAAATTGTTATTAGCTGCTGACACTTGCTGGGGCTCGTCGAATTCATCTGGAGCTCGCGTGGGGCGTTTTTTCGGTGGAAGCTGGAGGGAGGTACGCAGGAAATTGAGGAAGGACGTCTTTCCGGATTTACGAGCACCAATGACAAGAATGCTATTTAACGGGGGTGGTTTAGTGCCTCGATTCACTAGTAGGGTTTACGACACGGAAAGAAAAAGCCAAAGAAAAGCCGGGGGGGGGGAATAAATGAGAACTTACTTGTACGGGGTTGGGTCCTTGCGTCTTCGCACTCTCCGTGGGCTATTGATGGTACTGACGGCGCTGCTCGCATAGCTGTATCGGCCACGGTGTGTCATGCTCTCTGTTCTCGCGTATGGGTCAACAATTTCGCTATTCCTCACTCCAGCTGCACTGGCGTACGGAGACGCCGGTGCGTTTGGATCAATGTAACTGCCACCGCGATTTGACGTAACGGTCAGGTGCTCCTGTCGAGCGTTTTCGCCGCCAAAAGTGTTGAGCTGGGGAGGGGCGGGCAGGTCTGGAAGACGTGGGGCATGTTTCGGGACAGCAGCAGCTTCGCGCTGACGTCGTAGCATCTCTTCTTTAGCCATTTCCTTCTGCATCCTTTTGCTCATTCTCCCTCCTGAAGCTTTGCGATCCGCACTGAGAGGTTCAGTGGACTTTGAACGACGAAGGAAACCTAGAGATGTTCGTCTTGCGGTTTGAGAATTGGCATTGGCGGTACCGTTCTCAGTGACAGTTGGAAGGGCGTCCGGGTGCGGGCTGTGTCCAGGGGTTGGTGGGCTCGCTGGACTAGACATGTTGGATTTAGTGCCTTGCCAATGTAAACCGTATCTAGAAAACAGTGGGACGTGAGTTTGCGGCTAGTAAAAAACAATTGGCAGACAAATTTTTCGTTCCAACTTTGACAGAAATAACAGAAAATGACAAAGAGAAGAAGGAACCCTGACGAGTGAGTTGTCAAAGTAAATGTTTTTAGAATAACGGGGGATTGGTTCTGGTTGGTTGGTTCCCAGGCCCAATGGTACATGTATGTGCGTGCAGCTGAGGTGAGAAAACATGTCTCCAATCGCGTTGATTGTGGGATGCATTGCACGAGGCATTACAAGTTAGATGATTAAGGGGATTAAAAAAAAAGTACTCACGGGCGATTTTTAAGGAACTTGTTTTTTTTCCCCGTCGGGCTGGTTTGAAAGCCTTGTAACCCCAGCTTCTCAGTCACCTTTGCGATGACTTCACTTGCTCCTTTTGGTACCGAACAGTAGTTTTGAGTGGGGAGAAATGTAGAGTTAGAATAACGTGGAATTATGGGAAACCCTATGGACGGAAGCAGAATAGGATAGCCAACAGCACCACGGAGGGCGACAGGATATTCGATGCGAAGCGATGGATGCGATACGTGAGATCGTACAGGGTGTGCGAGTTTCTAAGGTCGGTCCAACTGGCGCAACTGGGAGGGGGGGGGAGGGCAAGGGGTCAGTCCAATGACAACAACACAGAAACCCGTCGGGGTCAGGACAAAGACAAAGCAAAGGCAAAAACGTACAGCCAACGAGATCAATCAATCACCCGGCAGAGGAGAAGGAGATGAACGATGGGATTGAGATATAAGAACTAAAGGGTGGGTAGGAGACGACGACATCAACAAGCCCAGCAAGCGATTGTCAATGAAAGTAGACCAGCCTTGAAAAAGAGGAAGAGCTCCGGGTATGTAAATTTCGATCGTTCGAGAGTTGGTGTGCCGATCGCCCCCAATAATAACACGCAGACGGCGGGAGCACAAGGGATAGATACAAAAGAGAGAGAGAGAGATCGAAGCGAAGAATAGTGAAAGGAACGGAGGTAACTTTAGAGGGAGGAGGGAGAACAGAGAGAGAGAGGAGAGAGAGGGACGTCCCAGTCGAAGTCGATCGAGCCTGGCTTGCTGCGTGAAGCAGATGAGGAGAACCCCCTTAAGCCACAGGAGACCAACAGAGGCACTAACCACTGCACTCACTGCGAAGAGCGCCAACCAAGTCTCACTCGACGAACGTCGCAGGGGGGTTGGTGATATAATAATAACTAACCCGGCAGAGCAAGGGTTGGCAGAGAAAAGGGGATGCGTCACTAACAGCGCACACGAACGAGAGAAAGAGAAAAAGAAGAGAAAAGGATGGACGGACTGGGAGGAGGGAGGGAAGATGATGAAGGAGATGAAGATACGATACAGCGAGCAAGCAGGCGAAAAGATGAACGAAATTACCGCGTTAGGCCTCTTTGGACATTATTTTTATTTATTTATTTTATTTTTCCACTTTTTGTATATCTACCTAACTACCCTACCGCTGCGTAGCTCTTTTCTCCGCTGTTTCACAAGCCTCAAACAAAGCCCCTTCCGCGCCACAGGAATAATATCACAGGGAATAGCACATTATTCTGTACGCATGGTTAGTAGTTAGATAGCCACCAACTGAAGGAGGAGAAGAAGAAGAAGAAGAAGAAGAATCAGTAGCAGTTCTTCATCACCATCACCTTCACCTTCACCTCACCCTCACTCTATCCCTCAACTCTACCCCCGTCCGTAGTTAACCATCAATGCTGCCCCCTTTTTTCTGTCTCTGTCTCTTGTAGCCCCGATTCAGGGGTAAGAACACTAGCAATACGATAATACGGTCCGATAATTTTCCTTCCCCTTCATTTCCCTGCATACTCTGTACAGCACATGTATGTACAGTACAGAGTAATGTACAGTACAGTACACAGGACTGATACACAGTCCATACAGTACAGGACGTATCACGCCTTAGTCGAAACAGTTGCCAAGCCCGTGGGGATTTCTGTATCAAGGTACGGAGGTACTCGCTCCATACATTATTACATTATTAACTACCTGGTTAGTGTTGGGGGTCCTGCGGTTGGTCGGCCCTTCTACCAGCAGTGCGCTGGTGGTGATCGAGCTCTTTTGCCCCAGTAGCCTACAGTTAGTTATCACCAGAGAGTCAGTTATTTATTATTGGTTTAGCTCTCATTCAATGTCGCATTGGATGGTTTAATATTATTTATTGCTCTTTCGCCTGACGCAGAAACAATCAATCCAACATGGAATCGAGGCCATCCGAGTCAAGTGAGCTCGGACTCATACCTGGAGCTGTCACACCCTCCTGCGCTGTGCCTTGGGTTGGCATTATTGGGTTGTGTTGTCGTTGCACACACGCTGATATAAATATATGGATGTGGTTTGTCTCCCCCCCGAGGATCCGCACGGTTCCAGTTCGAGGGCGAATTTTGTTTTTGGTTTGGTTTATTAGTTTTGTCTTTGGCTTTCCAAGCTAGTAGCAAGCATTTGGAAGCTCTCCGGATTTCGTGGAGTGTCCTGCTTGAATTTCAGTCGGTAGATTTTCAATAACCAAACCCCCTACTGCCCTTTTTATTTCTATTGTTTTTATTTTTTTAAGAGAGGAGACAATACCATACCTGCAGATACAAATGCAGGTTCCCATCAACAATCTCGAAAAGCATCTGAGTGACCCCCCTCCAAAGGAATAATAATAATGGCTAGTCGCGCGCGGCTAGCTGGGAATAGCGCTTGCAACCTTCCAGACATTGCATTCTGATAATTTCAGCACGGAGGCTCGGTCAAACAAGCTTCATTTGATACGGTACACACGCTGATATTATTCGCTTTGAAACAGCGTTTCTTCTCTTTTTTGTTAATTTTTAATTTTTTTATTTTTTCATGTGCTGATCTCTAAAAATATAAGAGGAGAGAGTCTCTCTCCTCAGAAAAGCAAGGGAGAAATACCCGCACAAACCAAACACGTTCAACCAACCACTCCCAGAACAAGCTCATCCCGAGTCAGCTCTTGCTATGGCCTGCCTCTCTAAAAGCTGCAGGAAAGCAGGAAGCAGGGCGTCAAGGGAGATGTGGCTGGTGGGAAAATGTGGTTCCTACATACATACATAGAGATCGACCCATGACTGAATACATCTAAGTGGGAGGAACATTGCAACTCAACAACAACCCACCCCCGCTCGTCTGCCCGTTGGCCATTGAGGCGATGGAGGGATATAACTAACTCTACGGAGTACATTCGCTGAAGCTAAGAAAGAAAGGTTCTCGGCCGCTTTGGGAAAAGAGAGAGCCCGAGGCTATAACTATTGTTTCCTGAGAGAAAAAATACATAATTCCTTCCTTACCTCAATCCCCCGCAGCGCCTTCAAGTTCCTCATTCGTCCATGGCAGGGGTATCATAAATTTTAAGTCATTCAAGGGGAAACACACAAAGGAAAGCCAGCGCAAAACAATCAAGGCAATCAATCAACGCAGGTTCATGTCATATCCTCACACAGAAAAAGGAAACCACTCGCCTCCGCATTCACCATTGAACCTCGTAACAGATAGAATTAGAATGCCCTCATTAAGTAGGTATGTATATAAACGCCCCTCCACTCTTACACACCCCTCCTCTTCACCCTAACCTCATCATAAATAACACACTCCCCATCCCCAGGACAAACCTCCTCCCTCACCAGCCGCTTGAACTTCACCCCATTAGGTGCAGAGACATACTTCCGCTGTCCAAACAGGACGATCTGCCCCTCCGCATCATCGGGCAGCTGCTGGTCACCCCACCTGCCGTCGAAATACAGGTAGCTCGTGGGCGTGCTGGCATCGTACGGCGTGAATATCTCGGTGGCGTTGTCGTAGCTGTATGCGTACGCGCTCAGGAGGGGATCCCACAGGACGCCTCTGTCTGTTTCGTCTTCGAGGAGGCCGCCCGGCAGGTTGAAGCCTGGGATGGTGTGGTCGTGGGTTCTTGGGTTGGGGTTTTCAGTCAGGTTTATTATTCCGCATTCTCTTGTCTGGAGAAGCGGAAGGTAAGAACGGCGAAACTTACCCAGGAGTTGAATAGACAGCATGCGATCCATTGGAGCTATACCCCACTGGACGGAGACCCTGCTTCTCCGTAGCTTCGTAGGTGAATGCCTGACCGGCTGAATGCTGGCTGTACCAGATAGCCTGTGGCGCCCCATTTTCGAAGCGGATCATGTTGTGTTCCCTGGATCAGGTACGTCATTCCCGCTAGTTCATTCATACATCCATCGGGAAAGGAAAGGTAAACTCACCAGTCCCCGACATGGTTGCCGAATTGGATCCCGATGACCGTGTTTCCTTGGTTATACCTAGGGTCAATCATCGTCAATTATCATATTGCGGCTTATCAACTCTTTCCCCGAAAAATTAACAGAAACCAAAAGAAAGAAAAGAGAACCTACGCAAAGTAATAAAAATAAAACACATCAACCGTCTTCCCATCACCATGGTCCCTCACAACAATGACGGACGAGACAGCGTCCACAGTCTTTCCAGTCCTATCGGGTCTGGTGCCCCTGAACCACTCCGGAAGCGCTCTGATGCCCTCTTTCGAGGTGAGGAAGATATCCTCACCGCCCAGAATATTCAGCGAATCAAGATTGCCGAGCGTCAGGGGCGACGGGACATCTGCGACAGGCGTATAGTTGATTGTGGGGATTGAGTTTTCAAGCAGCGTCGCGAACGCGGAGGGCATGTATGGGTCTTCGCTGTGCAGGTAGATCAGGGGGGCTACATGGTGGTGGTAGTTTATGGGAAATATTTTGTTAGAAAGAGTGACGAGAATATATTGATGCTACCATTTTTCGCTCATTCTTCCGTTCATAGGGGCATACAATGACTGGCAGTATAGCACTGAACCAGAAATAAAATAGAAATAAAAATAGAAATAAAGTGGGAAATAAAGTTAGAAGAAGAAGAAAAGCTCTTCCACTTCATCAACCTACCATATTCAAGCACAAAGTCCGGGAGACTGTCGTGTTGGGCTGGGCAAGTTGAGGCGGGAGTTGCATCGACCAGTAGAGCGTATCTGAGACATTGGATCAGGAGCGATGCCACGACCGTGGACAGGGTCCGGTGCGATCTCCGCCACATCTCGGCAACCTTCGTCGGATATTTAACTTTAAATTAAGTTAACTAGCAGTTGCGAGAAGGTTTTGTCATCCGAGGTTCTCTCTCCGCCGTCGAATCTTTTGTTTTTTTTCAAATATCGGTTTCCCCCTCGATATCTGTTGAAAGGGTATATATATATATATGTATGTGTGCTCTTTGGCTCCCACTCTCTCTCTCTCTCTCTCTCTCACTCCCGTACCCTCTTCCACTCGAAAAGCGGCGCCGGGGCGTGTGTAACTACAACTAGCCTGATGGCGAGCCCACCAAAGCTCCGCAGTTTGTTTGTCTGTGTGAAGTGTCTTATCTCCACCTCGTATTGTGCTGAAAATGATGGGGTGTTTAAAAGAGCGACAGGCGACGACGACGACGGGCATGGGAAATAGGAAATAGTGGCTTGCCCGGGGTAACTACTCAGAGTAAAGAGAAACGAGGAGGGAAGCGAGGAAGCGAGGAAGCGAGGAAGCGAGGAAGCGAATGATGGGAAAGAAGATCATCTGGAATCCATCTAAATATGTCCGCATCGTAGTTTGCTAGGGGAGGGAGGAAGGTCCTGTGCCATGCGCACACACACACAACCCCCAACCCCCCGTGGTCAGTCACTACTTGCTGGGTTGAGGGAAACGTCTAAAGTAAGGATCGAATTATCAAGGCTCTTTCTTCTCTCGGTCCGCGGTGTGTAAATCATCAGTATTTAAGCCATCTTGAAACTGCCGAGATTGATATTATCTTGTACTGTACATTACATCACATTATTACTTCCCAGCATCGCGCAGAAAATTTCTCCTGATGAAATATATATCTATATATAAAGAGCATAGAACAACGTCCCTAGTACTCCGTAGTAGATATCTAGATATTGTCATTTCTTCCCATTTCATGACAACAGAAATCCTTGAGGCCAACCTAAGATCACTCACCATCACCATCACACACGTACATGTACAATACTTTCAAGGTTTAACTCTGATCCCCCTGGTCAGAAAACCTCCTCCATTTTAGACTCCTGCAGTACTCCGTACTGAGGAGACAGACTGGTCGGCCCCTGAACACTCAAATCTTGGAAGAGACAAGCACCGATCTTAAATACAGGGCTAAACTGAAAAAGGTTACATCAAGGTGTCCAGCTATCATCCCAGCGAGATCAGGGGAGGAGGGTTGGAAGAAAGAGTATTTCGTTTAAATAGTTGATGGCTTAAATAGTTGATGGCCGCGGCGTGCTCATGAATGTATCTAAATATCTGAAAACACTGCATTGTGCCCATGACAGTAAAGTTAGATATATATAACTTACAATGCATATTTTACCTATGACTAAACTTTAACCCAGCTGATTGAACTCCGTCCGCCGTATGGCCATGGGCGGGGGCGGCTGTTAATACTAGATCAGATCTAGATAACGATATGGATGGTAGCGATTGAGATCTGTAAACGCAGACCGGGCTAACTACCTATCTATCTCAAAGGCTTCATTCAATACGGAGTACACCTCACATGCAACCTAGATACTGCAATAATTGCCAAACTTATATAGAAAGAAGGAAAATCCCCCCCCCCCCCTGCGCAAAGCGCCCGACATAACTATCTCGTCCCATAGCCCCCACACGCATACCTAATCTACCCTGTGTGCATACCCCCCATGAACTACCACAAATGTAATATGCATTGTCGGAAAAAAAAAAAAAAAAAAAAAAAAAAAAAAAAAGCCCAGCTACATAGATAGAAAATACGCGAGGACCATGCTGTTGTGATATTGATCGGAATAGGCTACTATGCACTGTACGAGCAAAAAAAAAAGCTCCCCTCCCCGGTGCTATACTCCCTTCCCCCTACTGTAAAAAAAAAAATATAAAATCTTTCTCCTCCTTATCACCCTCATATTTGACAATATCATCTCTTGAGTTATATACTCATCCGTCATCTTATTCTCGGGGGGGGGGGGGGGGGTATGGGAGGGGAGGACGACTATTATATCACATTAGGATGGGATTGAATATGTACGTGCTGTATGCACATATATATACCCTGTCATGTGTATAGAAGAAAGTGTGTAAGGGATCAATATTGCAGCACTGATAGAGCAGCTGAAGATCTGTACACTCTATAAAATTTTTGATGAGATGTGCATGCACTCAATGCCATGCCATGCTCTGCTGCTGTGCCATGTAGCCACAAACTACACGCAGTCAAAATATCTATCACTGAACCCCTTCCCCCTCTCCCCTCCCCTCCCCTGCTGAGAGCTCCAGCATCACCAGAGGGGTTAAACGCGGGTGTGTAATCATAGAGCAGACCCCCATGGTCGTTTACACATGTATGTGATGTAGTGTCACAAATCCCATCCCCCATCCCTCCCCTCCACGATCTCTACACCAAGCAAAAAAAAAAAAAAAAAAGACAAAGCCATCGTTTTTGCCCCCTTCATGTGTAGCGAGTGTAACCCGCTTCCATACATACCTGTTGTCCTGTGTTCATAGTTATTGCAGCAGCAGCAGACCAACCTGATAGTGATAGATATGAATATCAAAAGCCAACCACGACGTCCCATCTCTAGCGGGTTGCGGGGAATGGGAATTCGTGATATGGCCTTGCTTAGGATCCCATGCTGCGGGGTTCCCTGAACGATTTGCCATCTTCATTATTATTGCTCCCTAGCCTGAAATCAGAGGGGAAAGAAAAAAGAATAATAATCAATCAGAATCAAACAGGCGGGGGAGGTTCAGTTCTCATAGCCCTCCAGTAGCGAAGGGTAGGAAAACGCAAACTGGTCTGTCATGATAAATAAAGTAATGTTAAATAGCCGGAAGGGGACGAACGGGCTGGAGATTGGTTCTCTATTTTATTATACATATATACATATACATATATATATATATATATTTTATATATATATATGTACAAATACGGGGTATATTTCGACAGTGCGCACGGGAGCGTGCAGAACTGGAGGGGCTTGGATAGAGTTTCAGCAGAGGCCAGCACGTGGCGGGATTCCAGTCCCAAAATCATGAGGCTGGCTGGCTCCTTGACAGTTCGAAGTATCGTTCCGGAATCAGAGACCGTCAATAATTCTTGTATGACTTGTATGACATTATATATATATATATATAAACTCCTCAGGCGTTGTGTTTAGCTGTGCCGGTGGTGGTTGTGGTGTTGTTGGTGATAATCGACTTCCCGAGTCAGGTCAGGTCAGGTCAGCGCCAAATCGATGTCAACCGTGTCTGTCGTAGTAAAGTTATAGTATAGTAACTTATGCCATCTGCCAGACTAGTTACCAGAGACAGAGACAGAGCCCGCAATTATTAATATGGGTTGGGTGGAAGGGGCGAGGGGTGGGCCTTGTGCAAGTGAAGTGTCTCGAAAGGTCAGCTGTCTAGGAAAATGCTAGCTTCGGTTTTTGTGGCGTGACTTTCTACAAATTATTATTATTATTATTCTTATTCTTATTCGGTGTGTCTCTATCATCTTAAACCATGTACGGAGTACAGTACATACATATATGAAGAGTATCAGACGAGGCCAAAACGCAGTCTGGGCAGGACAAAAGCAAAGATTGGCCCGGGTTTCATCCAACACAAAACGAGAGCAAAAAAAAGAAAAGAAAAAGAAAGGAAAAGAAAGAGAAAGAGAAAAACAACCACACCACCACAGGCCACGACCTCGTCTTGGTCTGTTTCGCAGCTGCAGGAATCCACCGCGGCCAAGGACAGGGCAGGGTTTGAAGGGGTTTGAAGGACCCCCCAAATATTATTTAATAATTATGCAGCAACACCCGAAATCCCCCCAATAATAAATAGTCGGTTGGCTAGTCCAAGCAGTCAGTCAATCCGTCCCTGACACACAGAGAAAGCAGAGACAACAGCTGGTGGCAGTCAGTCAGTAGTTCGGTGCCTTACTATTATTATCATCATGGGACTGATTACTGGACTAGGCTTGGACAGACTTATTATTAGCCTCGGACTGGGCTGCTCCAAGAGTCCAAGAGACCAAGAGTCCAAGAGCCATGCAATCAGAATGATATGCAGGAGGCGGCTTTGCTTGTTGCTCTGCGCTGGCCAGTCGAATCATCGCAGACTCACAGCCGAAAATCAAAACCCTTGACTCTCCCTTGAAGCCATCAACGCAGGTCTGGATTCTAGACCGTTCCTCTCACTCCCCGCTTTTCCGGGCGTTTCGTGCGTTTCGTGCGGCGCGGCGCGGTGCGGCTCGACAATCCTCTCTTCTCCTCTCCTCTAGGTAATAATAATAATAATAATAATAATAATAATAAGCATAGAGTAAGCAGCAGTATTATTATTTTCCCTGTGTTGTCTCGTTGCTGTCGATTTCTCCCCTCTTCTTTCTCCTTCTTCTTGTTTTATTATTTTTATCACCTGACAGATTTGAAGTCAAGAAAACCTTCCTCGCCCAGAAGTCAGTTATTTATTATTAATACTAGTGCTGTGTCTCCTCACACAATTAGCCCTGCGCTGTGTTGCAGTTTGGAGTCTTCTTCTTCTCTGTCTCCTGTCTCTGTCTCCTATCTCTATCTCACGGAGGGCAGACAGGAAAAGAAGGGGAAAAAAGAAGTGAAAAATAGAGAGGAAAAGTTAAAATAAATAAATAAAAGAGAGAGAGAGAGAGAAAACAAAAAAATAATATAAAATAAATGTAAATTCCATTCATCCAAAGAGTCTCGCGATCGACAAAACAAAATTTCCACCCAATAAATATCCACGCTTCCGCCGGCCGTGTTGACAGCTTTTTGACACCGTGAGAGTCTGGTTTTGGGGGGCGCTTTTTGGTCTTTTTGGTCTTTTTGGCCTTTTGGTGTTTCTCCATTATTTATTATTTATTCCATGCTACATACGACGACAACATCCCTCAGTTACAGTAATTGTCTAGCCTGACCTCCATCAATCCAAAAGACCAAACCCAAAACCCAAAACCCAAAACCCAAAACCCAAAACCCAAAACCCAAAACCCAAGAAAGACGACGAACCTGGTGCTTGGGTTTTCTGCATCAGGCTGCATTTTAGCTACCAAACGTGATGAAAGGGCTAGACCCTGCGAGATCCCGCGCCTTGTGCCTTGTATTCCACAGTCAGTGCGTGCGCTGCGGCTTCATCGTCGAATCTTGTGCTGACTTTGCGATCATCTTTCTTTTTGCTGGCATTTCTTTTTCTTTTTTCTTTTTTTCTTTTTCTTTTTTCTTTTTCTTTCTTTCTTTCTTTTTTTCTTTACTTATTTTTTCCCTCCCTTCGATTTATATTCCTAGGCCTTCTTCCTCCATTATTTCACTCATTCCCCTCTCTTCGTCTTCTCCTTCTTATCCATTCCCTCTTTCTTTCCGTTCTCAAGGCAAAAAAAGGGGGGGAAACAACCATTTCAACCAGTCTTGTTGTATCTCTCTCTGCAAACGGCATTGCGGGGGAACATCCAGACTTGTTGGTGTGTGTGTTCGCACTTTTTTACTTCCGTAGAAAACGTTGGATAAATTGAATAACAGTCAGAAAACAGACACAATCTAGGCTCCTTGGGTTTCGAATCAGCCCGCTGCCCGAGATAAACAGTTAAAAAAATAATTACAGTTAGTTGGTTGCCTTACGAAAGAAACCCTCGCTGCCTCGCGATGCACAATTCGGACTCTTTTCTCCTCCCGACCTAAAAAAAAAAAAAAAAAAAAAAAAAAAAAAAAAAAAAAAACCAGTTGCATGCATATTCCGTTCTCGCGCCCGCCCCCGGAGAAAAAAAGAAAATAATAATAATAATAATAATAAACATTCGTTTGCCTTACAATAAACACGTCAATGCTTCGATAAATCCTCAACAACTTTGCTTTTCTTTCTATGGGTTGGTTGTCATCATTTTCACTTGGGAACACAGACCAGCCCTCTCTCTCTCTCTCAACCAAAAAAAATATACCCTTCCAACACGCATCACCACTCTTTATAATGACTATTTGTCGAACCTTGACACTGTTCTCCGAATTTTCACCTTAATCCCCCTTACCTTAAACCGTCCAGAATCATGCCACGAAGAGCTCCGGACAATATGGCTCTATCCGTCCGGGTGGAGGCCAATCTGTTTACGGCGATGAAGGCCACCGCTTTTAGCACATACCCCGGCGACACTCTCGCACACGTTTTGGCAGCTCGTCTCGATCGAGTTCAGCCTCAAGGCCCAAGAGGACAATGGTCCCCCGTCAGAGTCATCCCCAATATAGACGATGACCCAGATCAGGGCGTCGACAATCAATGCTGGACTCTAACAACGGATCCTACCATATACCCCAATAACCCGGAATGGTTCGATGAATGTGAGCACCAATGTTCCTTTCATCCCCTCTCTGTCTGTCTGCCTTGCTGCGTCCGCGGTGGGTGGGGTGGTGGTGGTATTAGAGGAGGAGGAGGAGGAGGAGGAGCAACTAGTCTTGGGTCAGGTTATGTGGTAGTGCTTGCTAACTCGTATATACAGACGTAACTCAATCGATTAAAATCATCTCCCCGCCCTATTTTATCCACGGACCTGGGTGGGAGGCTGATTTCCAGCGAGTATTCTCACAACGATCAGAGCACTATAACCCCATCGTGCGCTACGGAATCATGTACACTGAGTACAACCCCAGCACAAGTCTCAACGTACGCATAGGAAACGGCACAAATCCCGGCGCAGGTTTCCCCTTTCACATTGTCCGCAACCTTGCCATGATCTTGCTGGTATATGAACCAGAGATAGACAGAATGCTCCGCCTTCATACCTTCCCTGCTCATCAAAACAATCCCGTAAGTTCCTCCCATGTTCCCGTTTCCTCATCGATGGCCATTCGTTATTACCTTTATACATATAATTAACGCGGACTTATACTTATATTAGAGACGATGGTTAACGCCGCTTCAAAGCCCACACTTTCGGCCGCCGAATCTCCCCCATTCATGCCCTCCTGATATGTTAGCTTCTCATCTCCTAAACACATGCCCCGATTTGCGATCAGTCGTCCGTGCCATGAACCCAAGTCTTACCGAATTTTGCCGGCCCAATACCCACTCCTACTATAAATACGACTTCTCCTCCCTTCTAGACCCCACGGACGAACCAACCCCAACCACGAACCAGCCCAACGGACATCCCGCTCCTCCACAGCCAACACATTCGAAACGAAAAACCGTCCAATTCCGCCTTCCAAGCAACTTGGTGGTAGATCCTGAGATATTAATCCACTGGGTCAGATTACTCGCGAGCCTGGTTGAATTCGCAAAAGAAGTACAACTCGATACGCTGAACGAAACCCTCGGAGTTACCGTCCCAGATTTGGAGGCTATTAACAACAACCAGGGAGATACCACAGTGGGTGCAAGACCGCCTGAATTTGCCTCTGTTCAGCCCCCAGGATCGTTATTACGCCTTTTCACGGCCATGGAGCAAGCACAAATTCCGTTGGACTCCGATACCGCCCGCTTCTGGCACCGGCGGAGGACGAGAGCGTGAGAAAGTTTGACATATATGAATTGTTTATCTAACTGACATAAGCTATTATGTATCGCGGCTGTCAATTGGCAAAGCGAAAACGGATTTACAGGAGGTTTATTGGCTAAGGGAATTTTGCAGAAGTGAACAGACGGACAACAAATTAAAATTGTCAATCTTTCCCTCAAATGAGTCATGACCTACATAAAATATAATACGATGAATGGGCGGACTATTCAAGAATTTTTGGACATGAATAATATCTAATGTCTCCCTCGATAAATTTTTTTTCCCTTCTCGAACTACCCGGAAATCGTTGGAGAAAACTCGACGCCCATACGCACCCCCCCCCCCCCCCCCCCCCCCGTTGATTGAGCGCCCCCTGCTTTCGAACCCATGGTGCTACTCATGTGGATGTTGTCGCCAGATAACTAACTCTCTTGGGATCATACCTATAATACCTGGGACACCGACCATACAATTGAAGATTGGAGTTGTTGGATATTTTGGATATATTTGGAAACGCAGCCTACGAAACGACTGACGCACAACAACGATTTCCCATCCATCGTCTCCCTCTCTCGCGCTCTGCAACGACTGACTGAGCAACGAAATCACCACTTCACTAAGAGACCTAAGAGACCTTGGAAACGCAACGCTCAAAAATCAGATTCCTAGAGGACGGGAGAATGGTTGTTGATAGAATCTCAGGGCCCACGGGTAACGTTGATCAGGAATAGGATGTGATGTTGAAAGGAGGGGTGGGAAGAAAAAGAAAAAAAGAAAAAAAGAAAAAAAGAAGAAGTAGACTTCCGTCGCCCAGTGGACGGAACGTGTTTCAAGAATTGGACGGATTTGCCAGTCCCCTAAGGTTGCATGCATGTTGGTGTCTTCTTCGCATTTGCGTCGTTTTTTCTCTTGCTGTCCTCCCTCTCCCCTACATCTCAGCGTTTTCTCTTTCTCCATAATTTTTGTTTTTTTGCCTGGCTTCTTCACCCGTTTCTCTCGATTTTTTTTTGTCTCGCTTCTTTCCCAAGGCTAGCTATACTTAATATCTTTTTTTATACCCCCCCGCACCACACACACTCACACACACACCACCGGCCCGCCCCGCAGATCCCCACAGCATTTCCTTCCTCTTATTTTTTTTATATCTTTCCAAAATATAATCCCATGCTCATTTAGTTTTCTACCAAACAAGTTTTTTTAACACCTCGTTTACTTAAAAACGGGGTTTTAAACTACCCGCGCCGCGCTATGACAACCAAACTAAAGAGAAAGCAAAATAATATATATATATTTATTTTTCCGTTTTATTTATTTTGTGTTATCTCTTTTCCCACTATTCAATTTCTATCTATCTCCCTTTTTATCCCCAATTGCTTCCTTCCTACTTTTCTCTTTTGTTTCTTTTTTCCTTCTGCTTTTTGCCAGACAAGATATCCGAATCCAAACGAAACGACACATCCAAGAAGTTTTTAACACAGAAATTGTACCCATACCTATACCTATACCTATATCAGTTTTTGCAAATTACCTGCATACACCACCACCCTCCCACACCACACATATATATACACCCACACATCACATACACATGCCTATATACATAGTCTAATATATTAACATTTAATAAATAATAAAAGCATGCCTTACCCAGCCGGCTAACACAACACAACATCTTTTCACCCGAGAGAGCTCTCCGCCTCCATATACGGACACTACATACATACATACATACATAGTCCACCCAGGCAGCACAGCGCCATCCCTCACACCTCCCTCTGACGCTAACTACCCCCCCCACACCCGGTTTTATCTCGACAGCTGACAACCAACCCCCTTTTTGCATATGATGTGCATAACAGACACAGTAACATAAGGGAAACATTGGAGACATGGGGAAAAAAAAAAAGCAAAAGGGAGACTCAGCTTGCCTCGGGATGTGTGGGTGATATATGGGGTAAGTAGAGAGGTAAACCCAAGACCAGTAGCATGCGGCGCATGCCGATATGATCCAAAACAACGCAGTGTTGTAGGCGTAGGATTGCAAAAAAGAAACATCCAAATGAAGAAGGAAAACCGCAAAAAAATAAAAAAATAAAATAAAATAATTAAGGCTACCACTCAGGCCTAACGTCAACATGCCCATCATCCGTCAAAACCTTCCCACGATCCCACTCCCTTTTCTCCCCCCGCTTCACCCACTTCACATCCTCCACATCCCTATCACGGCCCCCCATATCTCTGTGGCCCCCGCCACCAGCACCACCATCCAACCCCGCAAACGCCCCATTCCCAGCCCATTTCTCAATAACCCCTTCATCAAACCCAGCCGCGCGAAGCCGATCTGCACCCTTCCGCCTCCACAACGCACGATCCCGCAACGCCTCAAGAGCCATGTCCCAGTCATCGTCCTCTGCAGTCGCCAGGCCGGCCACCGGCCGGCGTCGTGGCCTGCTGGGGCTTTTTGAGGTGTTGGCCGTGTTACCCTCGCCCTCGTCCTCGTCATCTGGGCGGACATCGAGGGCCGGATCGTAACCGGATGCGAAGTGGGCGTCGATATTATTGCTTTTGTTCTTCTTGTAGGCGCCCCTGCCTCGGGAGCGGAGTGGGGGGGTATCGTCGTTTTCTGCCGAGGGGGGGAGTGGGCCGATGAGACTTTCTAGCGGGTCTGAATCTGAATCTGAAGCTGAAGCTGAAGCCGAACCTGGCACTGACGGGTCTATGGTATCAACATCTCGCGACCGGGGTTCGGGGTTGCTGTGACGTGGTGAAGTTTGGGGAAGGGGTGGGGATTTCCCCGCCTCTGCAGCGGCCCGTGTCTCTCGGGATGTAGTAGATGTGCGGTGTTTGCGGGGGTGGTGCTGTTCGCCATGCGATTCATTTTTACCCTTTAGACTTCCCTTTCGGGAACTGGAGCGCTCTGGTGGGCGACGTCTAGTTCGTGACGGGGAGCTAGAATGACTGCGGTGGCGTTTTTGACGCCGGTGAGAACGGCGTTCTCGATCGTCATCGCTCGACCTGTGCTTGTCTGAGGAATGGCTATGTTCCGCATGCCGCCGGCTATGACTGCGGTGAGACCGATCGTCTTCCTTCTTATGGCGTCTCGATCTCGACGATTTATGTCTTCTCGCCCTCTCTTCATCGTCGCTGCTCTCATCATTCTCCGTTCTCCTCATTCTCTGTTCCCTCCGTCCCTCCCTCTCTCGATCATGCGAAGTATGTCTACTCTCCTCTTCCCTTCCTTTTTGTCGTCTAGAGTGTCCCCCACTTTCGTATTTTTTGTCTGTGGAAGCCTCAACCCTGCGTCGCTTCGCCGCTCTGACATCATATAGATCGCGAGCTGCCGTCGAACCAGACGAAGGCTCATGCCCATGTCGCAACGCCCTCATTCTCTCACGAGCCTCTTCCTCCTCCTTTCTTTTCAGACTCGCATTATGGCTGTCCGTTTCGCGCAGTATATTCCTCAGAAATCGGGTATTAGGCTTTGGGGCACGTGCGGAGGGTCTACAATTAAGGTCATTCCCGCGCAATAGTCAGAAAACGACACAGATAGAAACAAAGGTAGTTTTAAAAGAAGACAGCCACACATACCTCTGGAGTGGGATGAAAGCATTCATTCCCAGGGTAGAATATCGTAGGGAACTATCGCGTGCATCCTTCGCAAGGAGCTGGGCGACATATTCGTCGTCGTCGAGGTCGGGAGCATTCGTAGAGTCCGCCCCGTTCTTCGTAGACATTATACAAACTGACAGGCCATGTATAAAATAGATGATTCAAGTGGGAGGAGATATATATCACCTCTGCACCTTGACGTATGTAAGGAGGGGTCAAGTTGCAGCCTTGGGCTCGGCGGGTTGATGTCGCTGGTTGGTTTATGACGGCTGATATTGCGAAGTTGATGCAAACATGACAAACATTACTGATTATCTCTCCTCGAGTGGTTACATCTATCTACATAATTACTAGAATGACGCTGACGCGGGAACATCATGTTTTCGACCATAGCTCAAATCCCATTGGATGATTTCGTTGGTCTTTGAATGGAATATAAACCACTTATCTCTGTATATCGGCTACTTGCTTCTGGAAACGATGGAAGATAGCATGTCCACTACATCCCCCTCGAAAGCGCTAGCCGCTCTCAAGCAAATAGGCCCCGACACGCGCCTCTCAATTCTCAAAATCAGCGAACCAATTTCTACAACAACAAACCCAACCGGATCAGCCCAGTCGCCGTCCAACAGGCGCTCTGACGTGTCTACAGATGCGTTTGATAATCCAACTCCTGCGTCGCTGGAAGAAGATTTAACTCATTACAAGGTACGTAGGCACGCCCACACATAATCCCAGAATGTGCCATTGTAGAGAAAAGAAACTTCCATGACCTGACTGGATATGTTATGTATCGTGGGGTTTAGGAACTTTTCGCGAAACTTCGTTTTTCATACATCGAGCAAGTCACGAAGGAGAAATTCCTGCGCGCAATCGTCGGGGACCCGCCATTGGTTGTTGGGCACCAAGAAAATATCGAGCTCGAAACCGAGTTAGCAAAGGTGAAGGAAGAACTGCAACGGCGGAAGGAGGATGTTAGACTGATGATCGAGGGAATGGAGAAGATGGGGAGGGCGCTGGCGACGCGTAAATAATACTCTCCGTTGTCCGATCTATTTTCATAAGCGCGTTTATTGAGATATTGACAACAAAACATTCTCTCCTGTCTAGGATACAAGAAAGTCCAGCTTCAGACAACACAATTATCCGACCTTCCGGCCTCAATTGAAAGCCTCGAATCCACGATATCTACACTACGCGCTGCAGCTTCGCAAGCGTCAAATGGGTACCAGCCTGACTCTACCCTTCCTTCGTCCCAGACTCTCTCGTTACCAGCCACCCTTGAACTGATTGCGGAACGTGAAGCAGAATTGGTTGCCATAGACCGGCAGCTTGCCTCGGTCAACTCGTCATTGCCACGGAGTACTAGAGAAGCTGACGCGATTGAGAGGGAATTGGTGAGACTGGAGAGAAAGAAGGTCAAGAGCGTGGCGCAGGCTACAGAGGCTCACAGGAAGAAGCAGGAAGGGGAGAGTGATGGGCTGGAGGAAATGGGGAGGTGGTATAGGGGCGCGGAGAAGGGGTTGAAAGATTTAGTGGGAGTTAAAGGATAATTGAAGCGGAAAGGTTCTCTCCTGGGTGGCTACATTCACGACTCTGAATGGTGTTCCAGGTTGTTTTAACTTTAGCAGGGTTACTTTTCAGGCGCTTATGCTTTATGAGTTGGCATAATTAGGACTCATTGGTGTCATATTCACATTATAAGGTAGAATGGCTAGCTTTTCTTCATTCTCATGAAATAGTTTTCCGATATTTATTTGATCATACATTAGGGTATGCCGGATAGCAAATAACGCCTCCCTTTCATGATTAACTCCACGCACACATCTACTCCTCGTCCTCTTCCTCCTCATCCACATCTCCTTTCTCACCAGCCTTGTTCTTCTTTCTCTGGACACGGCCAGGGCGTCCTTCACCAAATGGCGAGGTAAGAGCAAAATCAATGTGTTTCTGGGAGTCGAGACGGACGACGAAAGAAGGAACATTGACGATTTGCTTTCCAACACTGCAAAACGTTTAACACTAGTTAGAAAGTGCAAGACAATACACCAGACAGAATCGAATGGAATACACATACCGGATGTGTCGCTGTCTGATGAGGACACGGGCGTGGTGAATGGACTTGGCCAAACCGAGCTGGTAGACCTGGGTCTGCAGACGGCGCTCCAAGAAATCCTCGACCTTGAGCGCCAAGACGTAATCGAGCTTCATGCGGGACTCGTCGAGCACACCAACGCGGACAAGACGGCGAATCAAGGCGTTGCCCTCGAACAGGCGCTTGGGGTCTTTCTCGTCAAGAGTGAGGAGCTCACTATTAAAAGAATGCCTATTAGCGGACGCTCTCAATGCAAGATAATCATCCATAACTTTTCTAATTGCCTGAGTGGGTGCTTCCATACCGAGCAGCACGTCGAATCTTGGACAAGGTAAGCTGGACACGCCAGACTTCACGCTTGTTACGGAGGCCATATTTGCCGATAATTTCCAATTCGGAGTCACTAGCGAGGGAATCATGTTAGGAGATCTGACACAACGACATAAGCAGAGACAAGCTGCTGCTCAGTGGCCTGAGGATACTAACAGACGCGCCGACTCGTATGCTAGAATTGAAAGAAAGCGCAATTGTCAGTATATCGACGAATCTCCATATGTCAAGGATTGCAAGTGGTTACATACGGCGACGAGGGACCTTGTAGGTCTTGGAGTAGGAGCGACTAGAAACAACTCAAATATTAGAGAATCGCTCATTTTATCCAGCACAAGACGAGCATCCAAATACTCACGGGGCCATGGCTGAGGAGACGGCAGCGCAATCCGGTTTGTCGAGGGTGTGTCGTTGTCGGGGTGCGGAAGTAAGGAATCAGAAAAATAAAGTCGATGTTGGAAGTTTTGATGCGGCTCTATGGGGCTCGCTAAGACGTCGGTGGGCGATTACTTGTTTGGGCCAGAATTAGGGTTGAGCCCGCACACCGTCCGGCTAAGCGAAAAACCCAACCATCGCAGCCCGACGACGACAAGCTCTTTGCAGTCTGTCCGTAGGAAGAAGCACTTTCGACGTCGACAATCGCCATCGCCATCTGACTACCTCACATCCGTCAAGATGGGTCACTCTCACGGTCTGAGGAAGGGCACTCGCGTAGGTTTTTCTCTACTGTTTATTCTCTCCGTTAATGAGTTACTAACATAGGGATGTGATGTTTTATAGTATGCCTTCTCCCGCGAATACAAGAAACATGGCGTTATCCCTCTCTCCACCTATCTGAGAGTTTACCGGTACGAAAGAATATACTCTGATTGATGCTGTTTTAGGAAATTTGGATCTAACTCCGGGTATATAGGGTTGGCGACATCGTGGATATCAAAGTCAATGGAGCAGTTCACAAGGGGTGAGTACCAAGTATTTCCTCAACGTCGGACCGCGATAACTGTGGAATCGATCACCGCTATAAAGAATTCCCCCCTCTACGATAAAATAGATCGATGCGCTGAGACATTTGTGATATTTATAGTATGCCACATAAGGTCTACCATGGCAAGACTGGTGTTGTCTACAACGTGACCAAGTCCGCCGTTGGTGTCATCATCTACAAGCGCGTTGGAAACAGATACATGGAGAAGCGCGTCAACGTCCGCATTGAGCACGTTTCCCACTCCCGATCCAGAGAAGAGTTCCTCCGCCGAGTCAAGGAGAATGCCCTTAAGAGACAGAAGGCCAAGGAGGAGGGTATCCACGTCCACCTGAAGAGACAACCTGTCGGACCCCGGGAGGCGAGAACAGTGAGCACGGAGGGAAATATGCCCGAGACGATCACACCTGTTGCATACGAGACGACTATCTAAAGAAAGACAAAAATTCAATTATCTGTGTTGTACGGGGTTTGGGTTCTTTTTTTTTCCCTTTTACGACTATTTTTCCTTTTATGTCACGGTGAATTAGTGTATTGCACTTGGTGGCGTGGAGGAGCGCAGCCTCTACACATGGTATCAATACAACCATACATCCACGACAAATGAGGAAATCAATTTTTTTGCCAATCAATGGTGTGATTCATATCCGTTGAGATTTTGCTTCATCAGTGGGGAGGGCCATATCACTTTATTGTCACAATGTTTTTCGTGGCCAACATCGGTTCGGTTGCTACAGGACTTTGCGGTCTTGGCCTACTCTTTCTGCTGGCGACTTAACCGACACCTATCCGACCCGGAAACCAACCCCAGTGGATTTCCTCTGGCTTCATAGCCTCATGCATTATGAAATCTTGTCGGCCAACACCTCCAGGTCGGTGCCATCTCCTTAAGATACGTACTGTTGTAAACTTTTCAAGGCTCTCGTATACATGTGAATGACTAGTTTGATGAGCTACAAGTTGACAGCGTTCGAAGTTAGTATACTTCTCTTTTGGACGCCGCTAGTGAAGAGGGAATTTTGAAGTTCAATGAAGATGCGCTGTGTAGCTGAATTCGGCCCGGGGCCTCAAGCGGTTCACTTGCTAGTCAATGGGAACTATTACATCCTGACGCTTCAATCCATTCACTCATACTGTTCAGCACCATGATTATCTTAGTGTAGTGAATGCTCTCATATGTTAGTCTCCCCCCTGATATCTTTCTCTACTCCCTCAGGCCAATTCGACACCAAACTTGTAGATCACATGATCATACTCAACGCGCCCGGTCGATGGTAAGTCCACGCGCTAAACCTCTTTGGACCTCGAAGCTTTCGCGTCTCCCAAGAACGCTAAAAAAAAAAAAAAAAAAAAAAAAAAAAAAGATCTCAGGACAAAGATTCTGCGATCTCTGGAAGCGGTTTCACTGATATTCCCAGAAGAACACACCTCCAAGTTTGATATCATGATAACACCCTTGCTTTCATATTATTAATTCTTTTTTTCTTCTTTCCTTTCTTGTATCGTCGTCTCATTGTTACCCATCAATGTGAATAATTTGGGAGTGTTAATTTTTACATACCAAAGCTCCGGCTCCCGAACACAATGTCCTTCTCTTCACATACCCAGGACCCTACTGGGCGCACTCGCCTTGAAAATGAGAAACAAGGTTCGCGACAGTCTATACTGCCATAACAGCGAGAAACTGACGATGTGGTGGAAGCTGGTCCTCAAAAAACAGAAAAGCCTGACGCGAAATCATGGGCTCACTTCCTCGCCGGAGGGTATGTATTTCAACTCCGTACCTCATCTTCCTTTGAATTTTTAGATGTCAAAAATAGAATGAACGTTGCTAACCAAGACTTAATAGTATTGGCGGGATGACCGCAGCTACTCTCACCTGTCCACTTGATGTCCTAAAAACCCGCCTGCAATCAGACTTTTATCAAGCCCAACTCCGCGCCCTGCGCGAGGCTCATCCCTTGCCTCAGTCAACCTCTATTCTTACCGTCCCTCGAAGTGCTCTACTCCATTTCACAGAAACTCTTCAAATGCTTAGAACAATACACGTCCATGAGGGGTGGCGGGGCTTGTTCAAAGGTCTGGGACCCAACCTAATAGGCGTAGTCCCAGCAAGGGCTATCAACTTCTATGTCTACGGAAATGGAAAACGTTTATTGAATGAGTATTTCGAATATGACCCGGCCACTTCACCTATGGGCGTTCACTTGACAGCTGCGGCGATGGCTGGTATTGCGACGGGAACAGCGACAAACCCCGTCTGGCTAGTAAAAACGCGGTTGCAACTGGACAAATCGAACGCTTCCAGCGTACCTGGCAGAGGGCGTCAGTATAAAAATAGCTGGGACTGCATTAGACAGACTGTGCGCCACGAAGGAATTCGAGGGCTCTATCGTGGACTGTCCGCATCGTATCTCGGAGTCACGGAGAGCACGATTCATTGGGTGATGTATGAACAGATGAAAAGGATACTCGCTACAAGGGAGGCCCGTAGGCTTGCTGATCCAACACATGTACCGAGTTGGGTTGATGATGCTGGGGCCTGGGGAGGAAAAATATTTGCCGCGGGCTTCGCCAAGCTCTTCGCTGCTGCCGCCACGTACCCGCATGAAGTTGTCCGCACAAGGCTACGGTTGGCTCCTACGGTGTCGGTATCAGGGGACAAGGCTAAGATGAAGTATACCGGTTTAGTCCAGTGCTTCCGACTGATATTCAAGGAGGAAGGAATGGCAGGCCTATACGGGGGTCTGACACCACACCTCCTCCGAGTTGTCCCAAGTGCTGCGATCATGTTTGGAATGTAAGTATTGAACAGCCAACATTCACGATTTACTCTTTTGGTATTTTGAGGGGTCTATCTATCCTGTTCCTTTGCTGACATTCTCATCCAAACCTTAGGTATGAAATGATTGTGCGGCTCCTTGGTGCTACAGCATAATTGCTCTCCACTGCCATGTCCGCCTATTCGTTGCCAGATCGGCCGCATTTCCCTCCCAAACTGCTTCTATAATATCTCACGACGAACCGGATGGCATGTCTATATTTCTTAACACTTCTTCGCCGCCATTCCAAATCCTCACTTCTGTGTCTGCATTTCTCTACGGCGCTTCGGGTTATAATAGACATACAAAGAATCCCCCAGAAAGTAATGGCTGTGGTGCTGAGGGATAGAATTTTCAAGGAGGCAGAGACATGGTTGCGTCTCGGTACCCTTGATTTGTTTATTTTTTATTTTTTTATTTTTGCTGTAGAGCAATCTTCTATTTTATGTCCAGCTTGGATGAAATACTGTAATTTGTATCTCTATGTTTTGTTTTCCTTTTTCCGTTTTGAGGAGTCGGGGGACGGAAGGGCCCAAGATCTACATGATAGATGCAATGTAACTCCGTATTATCTATGGGAAAGGGGTTGATAATGGCGTTTCCTGGGGCATCAGATGTTTTAACCTACGTTTGGGGGTTTTATTTCTTTTACTGTGTTTTCTTGCATCACTCGATTGCCTTGCATTTCAAGCCTGTGAGGGTTATTACTATTTGTTGCTATGCTTTATCCTTTTCTCTTCTTCAACCAGCTTTCTTTCGAGTTGATGACGTATCACTCGCGGCTATTGTATCATATGTTTATCGGACCATATATTATTGTTCTCCATATTCCTTTCTTTATTTATATTTATATTTATATATATATTCGGTTTTTTTCTTTTCTTTCTTTTCCCAATGCTATCCTAGAAAGAACTATCCGCCCCCAATCTCCGATCCCTGTGTAAATGCCGGCTATGGCAGCGGGCAACTAGTCGGCACCAGCTGGCAAGGCGAGCACTGCTTTTTACAACCCCCAGGTGCAGGGTTGGGATCGGGTGGCTTATTGCAATATCACGTCCGATCTGTTTGCTATGCTGCAGGGAGGTAACAGAACCCGGATGCAGAAAAGTCGTGTAACTACTTCGGGCCCGGAAATCGGGATCCAGAATACGTTCGAGCACATAGTTGGACCGGATGTTGAAGCCGATCGTATGTACCGTACTATGTGGCGCGGGAGTTTTATATTGACATGCACGGCTCGGTAATTGATTTTCTATTAGTTAGTATGTAGAAAAGAAAAAATCTTATATCTACAATATTAATATGAAACATGTGAAAAAATAAGTGGCTAAAAGAAATGAAAAAAAAGTAAGTCTGTAGTGATTAGAAGATTAAAATGAAAATGTCTAAATCAGTGCTCTGTGACACTTTAAGCTTCTCCGTCTGCATCAAATCTACAGTCTATAACTATCTCTCAAATAGTTAATCCTCATTCTTTCATGAATTCTTCAAAACCACCCGTTTTGCCTGTTGTATATCCTAAGATAATAGAGTTAGAATAGAAAAGCTTCCATTATCAGTTGAAGTACGGATCTCTTCAAAGAATTGCCCATTAATACATCTTAAACCGAGCTCATCAGATGATATTATTCTGCAACCTCTGTCAGTTAGCACTGATAATAGTAGATCAAGATCTTTGCCGCCAGAGCAGACGGGGCAGCAGATCTATGAGAAGGTGCAGCACGGCCAGTTTTCCATTCTAAATCCGAAACTACAGGCACCACAGGCACCACAGCCACCAACCTCAGCCAAACAGGCACAACTTGAACTTCTGCGTGCACAAAAGAGTTTCTGTTGCTTTCCATTTGTACTCCGTTATCCGTACTCCATTCATGGAAAGCCAATTACCAACCTCACCCTGATTAATTTTAACGAGTTGCGTGACTATACAGAAAATTGCAAGCTCAGTGCTGCAATCCCCCAGAAGCGGGCAGCCGCAGCATCAGGGACAAGATTGCGAACCAAAGATGCTGCAACGGGTTGAGTCCCGGAAGTTCGGCTCATGGGCTCAGGTCGCCAACCTCCAGGTTCATCACAGTGGTCACGGCTGGCTAGGGTGGCCTCACGCCGGCCGTCGTTACTGCCTGGGGATCCCCGCACCTCGGTAGTGACAGTATGCGTCTGAATAGAGATTTCACAACCAATAGAAAGAGTAGTTTGTTGGCCAGCTGGCCAACAAAACACCAATGAAATGAATACCTCTGTAGGTAGCTCATTGACCGGCGGCTGACGAATTCTTTCACACTCTACTCTGCACACGAACATTGGCATACTGGCCTCTGAACAGAAAGTGTAGAGTGCAGATCCCGGTCTTATTTTTCGACTGGGTACACGTATGTAGTATGTACCACATTCCCAATCCGGGTGGCTTATGCCACAGAACACAGAGTAGTGCAGATTTGACACGGAAATGTGCCGAGGATCGGCATAGGGGATGGTCTGGACAAAGTTAGTCTGCCGGGCATCCTTCTCAGATCTCAGACTCCGCTTTGGCTTCTTCAGAACTATCAAGCTGGTGTGCGACTCGAGTTGATGTCTTTGGTCTAGCTAGCTGTTACCACCGACCATTTCACATCCCTTCAGAGTCGTAGGGGCTGTACGTAATTTGTAAATCCGCAACTTTTTAAATCTCGTTAATAAAAACCTAACTCTCACCCCGAGCTGCGCAGATCGGGAGTTTAGCAACCACAGAGCGTCGGAGCACTAATCGGGATGACGAGTCTGTTAAAGAAGTCGGTCCGTGGCGCTTTCATTATCATTCCTGTCTCATCCCTCGCCTGTACTGAACTGAACTTCTTTCGAAATTTAAAAAGGTAGGAAGGAAGAGAGGAAAGCGTAGACCGGGCACAGGAACGGCTCAAAATATTAGATGGCGTATTTCGATAGGTTTCCGAGCTTCTTTTCCTGAGGGTTATCGACCGGTTTCGTGTATACGACCCTTAATAGAATAAAGCAAAACATGTGTATAGTACGTGCTTCTTCCACAATCAGGAGGGATAATTCCATACCTCTCTCTAGGCGCGAATTCTTTGGGGATGAAGCTTAGGACTCCTTACGGTGTACATTGCCACAGCTTCACCTAGCAAGGCAAACATGGGCCCAAACAATATGTGCGTGCTGCTTAAAACATTGGAATTCTGTCAGCTCGTGTGGGAGTCCCAGCCGATCCGCCCTTTCTATCTTGTAAGATGTGCTCAATGCTCATTTGCTTTATCGGCAAGTTTGCCAAACTCGGAACCGATTTGTGGTTCTGCACCCTAGGATGGAGTAGGAAGAATCTTCATGGATGTCGACGACAATATTGCATCAGGTGAAACGATAATATTCATTAAATCCGTGAAATAGGAAACGGACAAAGGATTTGTACTGGCGATTAAATGCTTGACAAGGATTTCCCACCATTCTCAAGAGAAATATTCAAAGGAAGCTCAGCAAAATTGTTGCAGGTGGGTGAGGTTGAGCGGTAGCTTACTAATCATCCACGGCCCCGGTTATTCCCAGCTCTCCAATTTACTGTAGGCTACTGGGGCAAAAGAGCTCAGTCACCACCAGCGCTGCTGGTAGAAGGGCCGATCAACCCCCGGGACCCCCAACATTTACTGTGCTATGTTGGTGATTACTACACCTACCCTAGTCACGTGCCACCCCAACCTATTCATTTAGTGTAACTCGCGTAGTTAGATTACAACACAATAACATTATCCTTCAAGAGGTTATGAAGCCCTTCATAAGCAACAAATAACCATAATAACATGTCAACTATGTCTCCATGTATTGTTACATGTGCCTAGATGTTTTTTATTAATTAATTGAACTCATGGTGAACCTGAGATCAGGTAAAAAGCCTGACTTAATGAAGAATTACATATTAATATATAGAAGAAGAAATTCACAAATATCTGAAGTATAAGAAGAATTAAGTGTGAGCTTATTAACATCTGCAATGAACTGAAAAGTAACTGTCTCAGAAGTATTTAAGCTAAATAAAATCATTACAGAGAAATAGTCTGATAAGTTTAATATATATAAAGATCTGATTGAAGATATCAGTGAGATGTCAGATAATACAGAGAGTTTAAGTAACTGAAATAATAATAACTCAGTGAGTAAGAAGACTTATATAAGACTAGAAATTATAAGACTTCAGTATGAGATTGAGTGAATGAAGATTAGTAGAGATAACTCTGTAGATAATAAGATAAAAGCAGATCTAATAGAATATCTTTAATGAAAAGAGAAAATATCTATTATAATAAAAGTTCTTAAAGAATTCAGAAGCTAAGTAAGACTTATTAAAAAATTAATAGTTCTCACTAAATTCATTAACTACTTAATATAGAGAGAGAAAATTCTTTTAATTATAGAGCAGTCTGAAATCAATAATATTCTTAAAGATAATAATCTTGATAAGAATATTACTATAAATATACAATATTTCTGAAAAGAATGCAATCTTTAATTATATAATTATATATAATCTGTAATTACTCTGCAGATCAAGACTCATTTCACTATACTTAAGAAGTTTAAATTATCAGTTTATACTCTATAAACTATTATAGAGAATAACTTTTCTGAGAGATCTGCTATATACAGAACTTATTTATTTAAAAAGTTTATTAAAATAATCTTTAAAAGTAAAGAATCTAACAGAGCTTTTATTGAATATCTAATTGTTATAAGAACTAATTATATCTGTCTAAAATATAAGATTCTGAATATTATGTTTTTCAACAGACTACTTATAGAAGTCAACAGAGATTAAGTCTTATTCATAAGAAATTAAATAAATCAAATTAATAAAGATAATACTTAATTCTTAGAGAATGATTTTATAAGTCTATACTATAATATTCTTTTACAGCTCTCTGCTATGAATAAAGTAAATACTGATATATCTAGAAATTCTATTAATAATATACAAGATAAGAATAAGAAAGACAAGAATAAAGAGAAAGATAATAATAAGAATAAGAATACTGAATTCAAATCTGAATATAGAGATAATAATATAAGAATCTACTATTATTGTCAAAAGATTAATTATATTCAGACTGACTGTTAAAAGAAATACTCTGAGAAATATTCTTTAAATTTAAATTTCAATATTAATAGAAATAAGAATAAAGACAAGAATGTAGAGAATACAGATACTGCTTCTATTTACAATATTATAAAGTAAGTATTTTATATCAAAGAAAAGGCCTATGTGAGTGACTAGATAGAAAAAGATATCTGAATTCTAGACTCTGAATCAGACACTTATATCACATCTCACAGAGATCTTGTTATAGTAAAATCTCAGAAGATGAAAGTAATATTGAAAATGATAGATAAAACAGTGATCTCTGCTGCAGCTATAGAAGATATGAAGATTTCAGTGAAAGAAGTGAATATACTGTTAAATAATATTCACTATATTTCAAAGTTAGAAGTGAATCTCATAAGTATGAGTAAGCTTGTATATCAGAGTTATATCTATAAGTAGTTGATATATAAGAATAATTATACTATGTTGATTATGTCTTCTGACTGCATGTTCTTATTTATAACAAGATTAATTAAGAATGATATCTATAAGATGAAAAGATCAGTTATATACAGAGACTGGATTCAGTTTACTATACTTAATAATGATTTTAAACCTGTGAACACATTATAGATGAAAGATGATATAATATTAACACTATATGAAAGAAATAATACAAAGATTATAGAACTTACAATAATACAATAACATTAAAAGCTAGAATATCTAAATCTCACAGATATTATAAAAATGATAACAGATTTATATCTAGAGATGAGAATTATTAATTAACAAGCTTTATCATTCTGTAAAGTCTGTGTTCAGATAAAAATAATATGTTCAATCTTCATATCTATGACATAAGCTGTTAAATCAGTAATGAGATTCTTCATTGATCTGACAGAAAGTGAAAAAACACTTTTGAACAGAAATGACACTGTCACTAGAGAGAATACAAGCTACTGATTGAGTATAATAAATAATACAATTCATTATAAGTGAGTAATTCTTATGATAAGAAAGAGAGAATCTACTGTAAGATTAATGAATTTCATCACAGATATTGAGATAACTACACAATATTAAGTTAAAACTCTACACTGAAATAATGAAGAAGAGTTCAAAAGTCAAGAACTTAAGATCTAGTGTCAGAGTAAAGAAATAGCATATGAAATAACTACATCTGATATATTACAATTAAATGACTCAGTGAAATATGTGAATCAAATAGTTATAGAAAAGATATGAAGCCTACTATTTAATAGTGAATTAGAAAGAGAACTTTGAAATGAAGTAATACAAGTTACAATTATAATGATCAACACATTCTCAATATCAATAAAGATATTTAAATATAAGAAAGAAATATCACTTATATCTTTTAAAGTGTGAACTGAGATGTAATCTTCTATTCATTGAATATGAAGATAAGAGTGCAAGGTCTATAAGAAGAATTTGAAAGTATTGAATAAGCTCACAGATAGAACTGATAGTAAGAAATGACAGCTAATTGAATATTAAGAATTACACTAATATTGTGTGTGAGATTCTGTTGCATGTTATCTTGAGATTGCATAAGATGTCATATTTGATGAAGCTCTTGATATGAGTGCAAATACACCTGTAAATACAGTGAGAGAATTCAATGAATTGTCTAATAAATTGAACATTCTGAATGTCAGAGAGAGATGACAGCACTGCTTACTATAACATCTTATAAAGAAAAAGTCAGATGTTTTAAAGATGATTGTAAATGAGAACTTAGAGAATGCAATTTATGGCGGGCTGCGCCTGATCAATTATATAGACTATTCTGTTACACTTCACAGATTCCAATCACTTCATTCTTGAACATGTACACTCCGATTCTCAGTCATTCTCAATCACTGATTCTCAGCTGCTACAAACGCGTGTATATTCTCCCGCCCCGAAGCTCCACCGCGTACACTACCACA